GATATATATATATATATATATATATATATATATATATATATATATATATATATATATATATATATATATATATATATATATATATATATATATATATTGGCCTCTGTAAAAAAATATCTGTAAAGGACCATGACGTGTGTTTATTAAGCAGCATGTACCGTACCCGTCATTGCCTGTGTTTAGCGTGTTTAGGATATATATTACTTTTCGAATTAACTCTAATCACAGCCAACTAAGACCAAAACACACAAAAAACGCAAACATAATACAAACACAAACGCATACACAAACGAAAACACAAACACAAACGCAAACACAAACACAAAGTAACTTAGCAAAACGACTATAATACTACAACTTATCCATAGTCTTTTACACTCACTTAAACGAACGTAGTTGCCATAGCGCTAACGGAAAAGCCCAGGGCGCCAAATAGCACTCGGTGGGGGCGCCAGGGGACGCCTGGATTCGATTTAATAAAAGACTTTAGTAACCCTTCTTATAATAGTCTATCTATAGTCTATCGTACTTTACAATCTATCACACTGTATAGTCTATCGCACTGTACAGTCTATCGCACTGTACATTCTATCGCACTGTACAGTCTATCGCACTGTACAGTCTATCGCACTGTACAGTCTATCGCACTGTACAGTCTATCGCACTGTACAGTCTATCGCACTGTACAGTCTATCGCACTGTATCGCACAAGTATCCGCCCGCTGTCACCGAGGCATAGAGTCCGTTTCAACTTTATATATTTCATATTTGTGTTTGTGTGTGCGTGCGTTTGTGTGCGCGTTCGTATGTGTGTGTGTGCGTGTGTGTGTATATGTGTACCGTCCAGCACCCAATCGCTGCTCGGTATGTGCCAACACTAACCTGGTCCCATTCCCCAAAGTGGTATAGGTCCTGTATGGACTGTATGGACAGACTGACCAACGGCATGTGTGGAGACAAGATGATCCTTCCTGGATACATCAATACTTTTAAGGAAACAACGAGCTCGGGGCAAGCTTTGTGAGGTTCCACCATCGCAAGTCGCTTATGACATCTAATTGACAATGTACACACATGCTAACACACTAATATATATATATATTATATATATATATATATATATATATATATATATATATATATATATATATATATATTTATTTATATATATATATATATATATATATATATATATATATATATATATATATATATATATATATATATGTGTGTGTGTGTGTGTGCGTGTATAAATATATATATGTGTGTGTGTGTATGTGTGTGTGTGTGCTGAGCGTTTTTTTTCCTAATTAACTTTTCTATTTAGTGTATAGGGTTTTTCTAATTTAGGTTTATGTATAGATTTTCATCTGCTGTCTTACCATAAGCGTAGGTCACTGTAATGTTTAAATATTTTAATGTGGCTCCGAGAGATCCCAGATTCTCGAAAATAGGGCCGACGAGATATTCGTAATCCAAGTCAAGTCTTTCAAGGTTAACAAACTTCTAGATACAAAACAAACATATTTTGTGAGTTTAAAAACTATTCACGAAAATTTTCAGGCAATTGCTACAGCTAGAGGAAATATTTAGCTAGAGTAAAACTCTTTAGCTAACATGGTTTGACTATAACAATTCAATATCTAATTGGATGCTAACAATGATCCTAGGTGCTTTGACCACAGGTGCTTTGGCCATAGGGGTTTGACCATAGGGGGTTTGACCACAGCGAGCTTTGACCATAGGGGTTTGACCATAGAGGCTTTGTCCACATCGTGGCTTTGATCACAGATGGGCTATGGCCAAAGGGGTTTGACCACAGCGGGGCTTTGACCACAACGGGTCTTTGACTAAGATTAAGAATGTATATTTGGTAATATTATTTATTATCTAATATTAAAATTTTTCGGGAAAACGGCCTTCGGGCAAGTGTTCATTCGGGCGTTTGTTGCATTCGGGCAAGTGTCCATTCGGGCATTTGTCGCATTCGGGCAAGTGTCCATTCGGAAAAACGTCCGGCTCCCATTTTTAAATGATTGACTTACTTTTATGGCAGTTCCAAAATCACTAACACATCTGAGGTACCCATTGGAGTCCAAGACATCAAATGAAACGTACTAAGCGTATGCTAGTTACTGACACTGATAACTTTGTAGGAATTCTACGACGTTCATCATTTCAATGCTGCAGTCTCTTATTGAAAATTTCTGTCAGAAGATTCGAGTTCAAGTAAGAATACTATAATACTACGCACTAGGAGCAATTGACTATAACAAATGATAGAAACATTGAAGAAATGGATAATAAGTTAGGATCACAAATTTTGTTTAATCAGAATCCAAAGTCTAACTTTTACATATTTAAAAATTCGTTTCATGCGTGCTTAATATTTCTGTGTAATTAGTTCATTTAAACTCAATTAAGGGAAAATTTCAAACTTGTATGGATATTTCTTTCAAACTTGGCATTGAACAAAAATATAATCTTCAAGTGAAGCGATATGAAATTTGGAAATTTTAATTTATCTTAAATAGAAGACAAATTTGAAAAGTGGGGCTTAGGTTGAGGAGGTCACAAAAATACAAATGTTCTGAGTATAATCTACGTAATGAGTGAGAGAAAGTATGGGTCTAGTAGCTTTCAATAAAGGTGAGAGAAATTATAGGTCTAACAATATAGCCATAGATGAAAGTATGAATCTGACTTCTTCTTTCTTCATCTTCGTTCTTAATTTTAATGTTGGAAGGAATCCCCCCCAACACAATTAAGTATACGTGTCAACTTCTTATGCTCCATTGAGGCTATTGACTCCGATTTCAGCTTGCTTTTCTTTTTGGATTTGCTTCTATAGCCTTTGTCCAACCAAGAACAAACTACAAGGCAGCAGTTGTTTGATTTTGGAGTTGTCTCTCCTAGAAGAGTGGCTGTCCCCAGCTAACGAGCCTCAGCCACCCGAGGGTCCGAACTCGAGACTTTCGGTTTAGCAACCATGAGCTTTACCGACTATGGGTCTAACAATATAGATGAGAGAAATTATGGGTCTAGCAATATATGTGAGAGAAATTATGGGTCCAGTGTTTCTTCCAGACTTTTTTCTCCGGGGGGGGGGGGCACTTGATTTTTTCCGGGGGGGGGGGGGGCGGATACTAGTAAAAGTATATTTTTACTATATAAATTCCATCTCGTTCTGGGGGGGGGGGGGATAGACTTTCTTCGGGGGGGGGGGATTCCGAAGAGATGCCTGGAAGAAACTCTGTATGGGTCTAACAATATAGGTGAGACAAATAATGGGTTTAACAATATAGTTGAGACTAATTATGAGAGAAATGACGGTTAAATCAAAATAGATGAGAGAAAAGGGTCTAGCAATACAAGTGAGAGAAATTAAAAGATTATATCTCGAGTCCCTCATACCCATAAAGGTCAAGAAAAGGTTGGTCTCAGTCATGGCTAAAGTCTAGCACTTGCCTGCAGGTTAGTCTGCACCCTCAGAAACGCCATCATCGATTTTGCGAAGCCTGTTTTAATATTATCTGGCTTTGTATCCAGCACCAAGCCCTCCATTTCAAAGATTCTTAGATCAGACTCCTTGATCGATTTAAAAACTTGTTTCAATCTTTTTATTGCGAGATCGCTAGTTCCTTCTAACTCGTGGTTGATGCATTTTACGTGTAAGTTCCGTATTGATTTAGCAAACCTTTTGGCTATGAGAACTGATCTAATACCTATAAAAGTAGTTTTAGATATAATAAATATATCTAATATATAAATTTGAATTCTGTTATCTAATATATATATAAAGTTTTATTTTGTACGAGCCGGCCCGCGGCATAACATACGCCGCTATTTAGTTGTTTCTAATTTTCAATAATTCATAATTTGTGAATTCACCAGTACCAACGCTGACACTGAAAATATTTCTTTAAAACACTATAAGTAGCTCGTTAAGGACCATAACCCCCCCCCCTTCCTTCCCTCCCCCCCCTCCTCCCCCCCCCCTTCCTTCCCTCCCCCCTCCCTCCCCCCCCCCCCCTACGTTTAAAATCGTTGGCTCTGCTTGTAAACATTTAGAGTGAACACAGCTCACTAAAACCATGTAGGGGTGGGGAGGTAGGGAGAGCGTTTGCAGCTTGTTTTCTAACGGCTCGAAGAAGAGAATTATATATATAGAAGATAGATGTGAACGGGGGGCGGTCGGACTCGTGATTACAAAAGGATAGAGCAAAAAAAATGGACTTGATCGCCATAGTGTGATATATCTAAAGAGCTGGCCACATACAGTTGTATTAGTGAAAAACACGTTTCTACCTTTTATGCATTACTGCATCATTCATCCGATCGCCATGAAAAGCTATGAAGCTGTTGAGTACAGCCCCGGTAAAGGTTTCTGTCATAGGCCTAGCCAGGGGCGTAGCGAGGGGGGGGGGGGGGGCGGGAGGTGCGGACCGCACCGGGTGACACAATTTAGGGGGGGGGGTGACACCAAGGCAAAAAATAGCAAAATATATAGAGAAAAACTTGAGGGGGGGGGGGGCGCAATCGAAAGTTTGAGGGGGGGGGTGCAAATCGAAAGTTTGAGAGGGGGGGTGCAAATCAAAAACATGAAAAGTTTGTCCCCGGGAAGGGTCGCAACGCCTCTGGGGGGATGACACCATTAAGTGCCGCACCGGGTGACACCCGACCTCGCTACGCCACTGGGCCTAGCGTTTGTTTACATATTGGAGTGTCGACGCCCCACGGACATTTGTGATTAAGCGCCCCAAGATCCTCAGTGGCTATCTTTGCACCTGGGGTCCACTTATTGTGTATGCTATACATAGGGGGCTACTTCTGAAACCACCGATGGGACTCGTCCGAAGCGCATCACACATGAGAAGTTTGGCCCCGGCAGTCATTTAAAAGTGCACACAACACTAGGGATAAGTCTCGCTACTACATTCGATGACGAAATGTAAACCCATCACTCGTGCAGTAATGTAACCGGTAGCTCCAAGAGCCTCTTGATTCCCCTTGACATCTGGGCCGTCGCCGTGGGACTTACAGTTACAGCATGCCTTGGTGTGTCTAGTTGGTAGTGTGGACACAGCCGCGCCCTAACAACTAAGATCCAACTGCCGAGATTGTTCACATTTATTTAAACTTCTGGAAAACAGGTCACACGTCTATAAATACACGATTGGTAACGTTTTGATGAAAACTTCATAAAATTGGCGTCAGTTTGGTGTGTTGGACTAGATTTAGTGAGTCAGTGCTTCTCACTTGGAAAACTGAATGGGGCCAGCTCGCGTGTTGGAAAACCTTTGATTTATTCGTGTGCCAGATGGAAAACAAACATGTGTCCATAAGAGCGACCCTTGTTTTCGGTATATATATATATATATATATATATATATATATATATATATATATATATATATATATATATATATATATATATATATATATATATATATATATATATATATATATATATATATATATATATATATATATATATATACATGCGACAAAAAATTCTGCTGTGGGGGGGGGGGGGGGGCTTTCTTTTTAGTTCCGCCACTGGCAACTACCCAATAAATTTAGTCAACGTTACACACTTTCTACTCTCGATGTTAGATAAAATACTTCTATTATTGTGTAGGCCTAATCAGGGGCGGAACTACAGTGCCGCCAGACCCCGCAATGCGGGAGGGGGGGGGGGGCATCAGTTGACACTTGCGCTTCATATGACTCCTCACAACTTAATGCCCAGGCTTTGCGCCGTAATTTCTATTTTTTTTTTTTTAAATATTTCTAAAAAAACTTCTCTAATTCTACAAAAATTTTAACTCGGCATATTTCTTTGGGGGCCTTTGAAGCAGTATTTCTTTCAGACTTTTTTTTTCTCCGGGAAGGGGAGGTGGACTAAATTTTCCGGGGGAGGGCGGAACCTGGTAAAAGTATATATTTTCTATATAAATTCCATTCCGTTCGGGGTGGGGGGGGGGGGGTGGCGAGGGCCGAAGAGATACCTGGAAAAAACTCTGCCCTGAAGGGCTCTCTTTAGTTGAGTCCACGTAAACCCTACAGTCCTTGCCTCTCCTTCCGCTGTCTTTCTCCATAATTTATTGGCCGGCCTACTTTTAAAGAAATTTTTAAATGTTTTTAAGTCTTATAATCTCGAACCTTTTTTATCATTTTTTCCGTCAAACTCTAATGTCCATGTGCGCCACAGACATGGCTCCTGGCTTAACTGCTTCAATTGATGGCAAACCTTTAAAAATAATGCAAGCATTGATCAATTAGTCTTCTCCGCAAATGTTACTGGTATACGTATTTGAACAAACGGATTAGATTTGATGTGGACTTAAGTATAGCTTTACAGATGTTATCGTATTTTTTTATATATGTTGTATTGAATTTCTTTGTTTTTGTCATGCATATATATATATATATATATATATATATATATATATATATATATATATATATATATATATATATATATATATATATATATATATATATATAGGTTGTTGCCTTGTATTTGTATCGGCTGTTGTCTTGTGTTTCTGTTGAATCCTGTCTTTACCTAATTATTACTAGTGGTGTCAATTTGTTTTATTCTATTATTCTAAGCTGCAGAAATGTTTGCAAAAATATTTAGAATCAGGAAAATAAATCTCAGAGGCAGTCTTATGTTTATAACTTATAAGCCATTACCATACCATCAGATGATCAGATTAATTAATAATTACCCCATATATTATAACATAATAAGCTCAGATGTTTAGATTATGTAACAATAATCACCTGTGCTGCAATCCCAATATCGTTTGGCGGCAATAGTTTCAAGATCTTAATAATAATATGGGGAGGTAAACTCTCCCATCCTCTAGGCTTATCCATACTTTTTTAACAATGTAGATTTAGATTCTCTATCTATACGTTGCTAATTTTATCAATTTTTTTCTTCTCTTATTGTATTTAAAACTTCCGGAAAAGCACATTCCCATGCCAATCGAATGACACAATGCAGGAATATCCTTTTTAATTTTACTAAACAAACATTTGTTTGGTGCGTAAAAATTTTATTAAGAAGGAGTAGTTGGACTGTAGTTGCTAAAAGAAACATTCAACGCAGCTTCTAAATGGACAAGGTGATCTAGGTGTCATCCCAGTTGTCGAATTTTATATCCTATGCCTTGATGACGTCCTAAGTCAAGTTCCATGTCTTGATGTCAAGTCCCATGTCTTGATGTCATGTTCCAATGTATACATTTCTAGTCTCATGTCTTGATGTCAAGTCCCATGTCTTGATGTCAAGTCCCATGTCTTGATGTCATGCCCCAATGTATACATTTCTAGTCTCATGTCTTGATGTGAAGTCCCTTGTCTCCAATGTCAAATCCCATGTTTGATGTGAAGTCTCATGTCTTGATGTCAAGTCCCATGTCTTGATGTCATGTCCCATGTATAGATTTCTAGTCTCATGTCTTGATGTCATGTCCCGTGTTTTGATGTGAAGTTTCATGTCTTGATGTCACGTCCCATGTCTTGATGTCATGTCCCATGTATAGATTTCTAGTCTCATGTCTTGATGTCATGTCCCAATGTATACATTTCTAGTCTCATGTCTTGATGTGAAGTCCCTTGTCTCCAATGTCAAGTCCCATGTTTGATGTGAAGTCCCATGTCTTGATGTCATGTCCCATGTATACATTTCTAGTCTTATGTCTTGATGTCAAGTCCCATGTCTTGGTGTCATGTCCCATGTATAGATTTCTAGTCTTATGTCTTGATGTCAAGTCCCGTCTTTTGATGTGAAGTTTCATGTCTTAATGTCAAGTCCCATGTCTTGATGTCTGTCTTGATGTCATGTCCCATGTATAGATTTCTAGTCTCATGTCTTGATGTCAAGTCCCTTGTCTCCAATGTCAAGTCCCGTGTTTTGACGGAGATTCTCATATATATATATATATATATATATATATATATATATATATATATATATATATATATATATATATATATATATATATATATATATATAATTCTATAAGTCTATACTATGTTTTTTTAAAGGGCATTGTGAAAAAAGGCCTCCGCGCCTTATGCCTTATGTCGTTTTTCTATTTCTTTGTTAATTTTTACGTATTTTGTTCTTGAAAACTTTTTTTCGAATATTGACACTTCTCACTTTTATGCGTATGTGAGAATGATGAAGAAGAGAAATACTGATAAATTATTTGATATAGACCTAGATCTAAATATAATTATGGTTCTAGACAAGGCCAAGATTTCTGATATTTAGGACTAGACTGTTTCTTTTAAAATGGAATGGGTTATTTAAAAACTTGAATTTTTTTGCACAAAAAACATTAAGTAAACTAGGCTGTTTTTTTTATTTACAACTATAATCCCTTACATTTTCAAAAAGAAAACATTACAATCTTAAATATATATCTATCTAGATCTAGTTTATATATTCATTTAAAAAAAAAAGCATATTACTGGAACATTTTTTTTTTGCGTAAAATGTAATTTTTAAAACGTATTCGTTCGGAAGTAGTTAAACTTTTTAATGTACATGACAAAGCTTTTACAACGACGAAAACATGAGTTCCATAGGCACTGGGGTAAATTACTATTTTAATTTTAAATGATTATTTTATTACTAGCCTAGTCTAGATAGATTCTAAACGCAACAGATTAGTTTCATTTTTGCATTATTTTGTCAGTAAATCTTCAGCATATTAGATCTATAATAGGAAAAGTAGTCGAGTAGACCTGGTCTATCGTTGTGTTTGTTATTTCAGTTATTTCGACCGACGAGTGGAGAAAGCTCGATTTTATTTCGAAGTGACTAATAGATCTAAATCTACTCGGAAGAAGATTTTTCTCCCCAACATCTCCACTTAGTCGGCAAAAGATAGCAGTGACCTAGGGTTAGGGCTAGAATGAGGGTTAGGGGTAGGATTTAGTGATTAGGGTTAGGGTAGGCCGTTCGAATTCGCAGCTTCCGGGTTTGTTGTTTTGAAGCCATCTCACGGCTCATGCGCTTACCAAAAATGGCGACCAGTTTCGCTTTCACTAATGGGTAGAGCGATAAAACTAATGATTACGAAGCCATCGTTAATTTAAGAAATCGGAACTATCCGTTTCTATTTAAGTCTGTTATTTAAGAATTGTCGGATCTACTTTTGGCCTAATTCCTTTGTTTGTCTCGCAAGCGGCGCCTTAGTGAAAGTAGCTCTATGAATTCTTGTCTTTTATATCAAATAACTCTTACATATCGCTTCCAGATGCAAACCAGCTTATGTCAGATGTAAACTTTAAAGTATTAATTTTACACACATTACCATTAACTGGTAATAATTTGGCGTGTTAATGAGATATGTGCGTGGGAAAACGATCACCCCCCAATAATGCCATTTTATTATAATCTTGCTTAGTGAAAACGAGGCGCGGGAAAATGTGTGCTGCGCAAGAATCCAATCATTTGGCTAGATTTATGACTGTTTTTTTATGTCACACCTAAAAATAGAATGTTTACGCTTTCTTCATTGATGATCGTTTTCATTATTTTTTAAACTGAAAGTATGAATTATTAGTTAGATTTCAGGTTTTGTAACTTGGTATACTTACCCTTTATCAAAATTAAAAGCATAGCATGCTGATTGTGAACAAATATAGTCATAAAACACAGAAATATAAAGTTACAAACAATGCGATGTCAGGATGTGCCACACCCGGGCCACACCCCCTCAAGAAAACACGTGTTTATTAAGCTGTTTATGTCACTTTACACCAGTAATTAAAATTAATTTTCAAATTTTTATCACTTATTGGGTAAGATTAAGCACATGTATACTGAAAATTAAAAAACAAACAAAAGCAAATTCTGTTTTAATGAAGGTCACGGGTCAAGTTTTTTTTCCTTCTGTCAAGTTCATTGGAGGTTGCCACAGACTGACCTGACTTTGGAATTTTTTTTCAGTAATAATGACTTTACACAGAAAGTTAAAATATGCTAAATTAGCTTAGTTTACTAGTGTTCTAGCTATTATTGATACATTTTTAATAAAAAAAATCATTCTGTAATTCTCATCAAAAAGCCTAGGGTTAGGGATAGGTCATTAGGGAAAGGGTTAGGGATAGGATTAGGGTTGGTGTTAGGGTTCTGCGGTTGTAAACACATGCATGCGCAGTACCATCGAAAACATCGCAGCGAAGGCAAGTCATAGTTTCCATTGGGCATGCGTATCTTATTCCGGCTAGCATCGGCCATTTTATTTTAGGCCTAGATCTACTCATTTTACTTTATTAGCAGAGGCTCCCTTTTTGGATGATTATAGATAGGGGTCATCCATTTACGACGTCCACAATTTTTTTTTTTGGATTTTGGAGACACCCCCTCCCCCCCCCGTCCACAAAAATCCACTTTTTTACTTATAGGCCTACTAGTTTTTCTTACTAAATCTAGAATTTACCCAAATTTCAAATTAAACATGACTACTGAATGATAGACATCCATATTAAATCCATTACGCACTAATTTTAACGTTTTAGTTCGTTTTAAACGAAATTACTTAATTTAATATTTATTGACACTCACAAAAATGCACAACACACCTCTCCATGACAACTCTTCTTACGCTTGAAGCTAAAGAAAACCACAAATAGGTTAGACTTTTTAAGTGGCCATGTACCGGAAGTTCCCCACTAGTGATCATCAAATAGCGGTCACGTGGTTTAAAAAAATAAATAAATTTGGTTGTCATTCAAAAGTCGTGTCTTATTTTAAAAAGCGCATGCAATATTTGATTTATTTCTTCATATAATGATAAACCTAATAGTTCTACAACCTCCAATTCATTTTTGTGACCTCCGGGCTGATATTTTAGAAGTTCTATTAATTTTAATGAGACCGACTTTTAAATTTAGCCTTCATTCTCCAAAGCAAATTTTAAAATGCTTTTCTGGCATATTTAGCCTTGCCACCTATAGCATGTTTTTATAGCGTGAAAACCCGCCATTTTACTCGTGATAAACATTTTTTAAAGTAATTCTAAGAAGGTCTCTGGAACTAAGACGAAAAATCGTCGGAAGTCATGCATCCGATCCGTACGCCATATTGTTGTTAGCAACCGGCCACGCCTCCGGGTTAGCGAGAAATACTACCTTATACAAGTCCATATGCGTCCACAAAAGTCAATTTTTTTCTGGACCCCCCCCCCCCCGCGTGTGGACGTCATAAGACACCCATAGCGGTGTCTGATAATAGACTCTTCCATAAAATAGATGTGTTGGGTTGTTAGTAACTAGTACAGTAGTAGATCTAGTAGTAAGTAGGTAATCTCAACTAATTTTAATTTTATGGGGTTAGAAATTTTTAGGGTTAGGCGTATGGTAGGACCAGGGTTAGGGACAGTGTTAGCATGCCATTGACATTAGCCAGCCATGTGTGTAGGCCTATTTAGTTAACTACCAGTAACGTAACTAACACCCCTATTTTAAAGAAGATTCCATTATTGGACACCGGTATACAAATTCTCCCATTGTGGCTGTTTTTTTAGGTAAAAATCTATAGCGTTGGTTATTATTACGGAATTGTACAGCAGTAAAAAACAGAAAAACCATGGCCTTGTCTGTCGAGCGATTCTGGAAACCACAGAAAATACTGTAAACCATCATTTATTTGCCGCCATATTATTTTTAATACATAGTGTTTAAAAATGTGCATGGATTGATTTTTAAATGCTGTTTTGCTACTTATTTTCTATTTCTAATTATTTTTAGTGTATGTGCTAATATTGCTGCTACTAAACAATGTTCTAGTTCTTCTTACTACTTTTAACTTTATTAAATCTAATCGTCTTATTTTGCAAGATCTAGATCTAGAACTAGTTGGTGACGCAAATCTTCTGCAACTTTTTTTCTGTTTCTTAGAAAATCATTAATTACTAAATTTAACTTTATTAATAATATTTAGATGTACTAATTGTTGCTAATTTTCTGTCAATTAAACATTAAATTAAGTCAAAACATTAATTTAATGCACTCAACTTTTATTTTTATTACAACAGTCAAATAAACTATGGTTTACAATAACAAATGTTACTGAAACTCAACAAACAGATAATTTCCGACGCTATATCGTGAAATTGCCATTTTTTAATATAGATCTATGGTAATCTATCATTTTAGGTGCGTAAAATCGGCCAAAGCTTGTAAATGTAATGTATTAATTGTATTGTAGTATTGAGGCTTAATGGAATTCCATATTATTTTAAACTCAGTGTTGTTTTATTTTTTTTTAGTATGATCTCTCTGCTTCTCAATTCTCTCCTGATGGAAGAGTCTTTCAGGTAGAATATGCTCAAAAGGCAGTAGAAAATAGTGGGTAAGCTACTTTTTTTCTTTTTAATTTCACAAGTTTGAAATAGTGCTGATATGGAGTAAAATTTAATCAGTAATAATTAGTAATTTATGCTATTTTATTTTTATGTGAAACAGAACTGCTATTGGAATACGAGGAAAAGATGGTGTTGTATTTGGAGTAGAAAAGCTAATTACCTCAAAGTTGTATGAAAAAGGAGACAACAAAAGAATTCTTAATATCGATCGTCATATAGGTGCAGTAAGTAAAGTTTTACCATTTTGATTTTTTTTTTGTTTCGTATCCTCACATTTTTAACTGATTGGTTATTGAACTGCTCTGTAATCATTTTACTTTCATTGGCATTACTACTTGCATTAATTTTCATTTTCCTAGTAGTTACTAGGAATAATAACTTGAACAGTTATACTTCATATTGTATTCTTGCATTTAATGAGTTATTGTAATTATATATCACAGGCTGTAGCTGGACTCAATGCTGATGCTAGACATTTGATTGATAGAGCCAGGGTTGAAGCTTCAAGCTACAGAAGTAGTTATGGTGATGCTATACCTCTTAAAGTAAGTTCTTAACCACAGTATTTATTTTCCTTTCAGTGGTAGTAAGGTTTTTATTATGTAAATCCGTTGTTGTTTCCAATCTGTTGTTTTTTTCATTTAGATCTTTATATATCTCTGTTGTTAGACATGTCATAAGAATGTCCTGACATCACTTTTTACCAGTGCTCCTGTCAATTTGACTCACTTAGATTATGCTCTAGGAAATTGTGTAGCACTAACCCATTATTTTGTAGCTCAAACTTTTTGTAAAACTGTCCTGGTCATCTGTAGTTTTAATGTTGTTTCTTTTCGTGTTAAAGATTGTTTTAATTTTTTATTTAAAATATCATTAACGTAATACAAATATGTTATAAAATGAATCTTTAATTTAAAGATTGTTTTAATTTTTTATTTAAAATATCATTAAAGTAATACAAATATGTTGATAAAATGAATCTTTAATTTCTCACCAGCATTTGACAGAGCGTGTAGCTGGTTATGTACACGCGCACACTTTGTACAGTTCTGTGCGTCCGTTTGGTGTGAGCTTGATTATTGGTTCGATTGAGAAAGATGGTCCACAGATGTATCTCGTAGAACCATCAGGGGTTTCATGGGTAGGTAGATTTGGTATCTTGTTATTGCAGGCTAGGTTTGAAGTTATATCTATTTACTCGTATTGCTTTTGTAGCCTACGAAAATACAATCTTTTTAAAGCCTTGTACTGTACTATTTTGCTCTACTATTTGTATATCAAGTATTGAAGTGCACTATTGCACAACTGTAGCTGTTATAATCTTTCGTATAGAAATGTTAAGTTTTTTTGTCATTATTTTAACTATGCCTTTAATAAGACCAGTTCTTCCTATAGTGAAAAACGAAGAAAAAAAATGTCTTATAAACTCCTGTATTCTGTTGACTAAATTTATGATTAAATTATTCATATGCCATATAACATTGACATTACATTTGATTCTGTTAGGGTTACCATGGATGTGCAATTGGTAAAGCTAAACAAAATGCCAAAACAGAAATAGAAAAATTAAAGGTAAAAAAAGTATTGAAAGCCTTAATAATATGTTTAATTTTAAGAACATTCTATAAGGCTAGGTTTAATTAAATTAATGCATAGCTAATACTACCTTACAGCTTAAACAGTCTGTTAGATTATTTTTTTTTTTGGTCTTGAAATGAATTGACCCTTAATTTAATGATTTTTATTTATTTACTCTTCTAAACAACTGTTGCATATACAATAATGTTTGATGAGATGTTAAACTGCCATTTTCTTCTCCTTGTGATTCAGATGAAAGACATGACTATTAAAGAACTTGTGAAAGAAGTTGCAAAAATGTATGTATGGTTTTTGGTATTCAAATAATAATGCTTATTTTATAATCATTATTCTCAAAGTTTGACATATAATTTTTTAAATAAAATAGTTAAATTCAATTCATAATTAAATTAATTTAAGAAATTTTAAAGATTTCTTTTCTCTCTGTTTTTCTAGAATTTACATTGTCCATGATGAAGTCAAAGACAAATCATTTGAGCTAGAGCTTAGTTGGGTTGGAGCTGGTAAATAATTTTTTTTCTTGGATAAACTTTAAGGCTGTTCAAGTAGAATTATTTAACTGCATTCATTGTCTTTTTAAAAAAAATTTTGTTTTAGAGGATTGTTATTAAACTCATGTAAGATTTTTCAAAATATGAAATCATCTTTAATGTGTGTAGTGATAAATCTATTAGAAATTGTTAGATTGAGGAGAGATATTAGTGTTAATTAGGAAATTAAGAGTGAATATGTTTTAGTATATAAATATAGATATACAAGTTAATATTTACTTACTTAAACCATTAATTTTCTCAGATACGGGAAATAGGCATGAACTTGTTCCACCTGAAGTTTACATTGAAGCTGAAAAATATGCCAAGGTAGTTTCCAAAATTTTATTATACTACACTTTTTGAAAAATTATTTAAAAACAAAAACAGCATTAATCGGGTAAATAGTCTAAATGTCTGAGTTTTAACTGGCTTGATAATTTACTTCTAATTAATAAAAATATTAATCCCAGGAAAAAAACCAAACCTTTAATTAACTATTTTTCTAATAAAGTTGTGGGGATAAAAATTCAGCTTAGTTTCTGGAACTATTTTTTTTTATATCACTATTACAGTTACATTATAATCAAGCCTGATTCAGCCATAGAGGCGTTTTAATTTGTAGACTGATTATTATTCAGCGATGATTAATTAAAAATATAACCATGGTATTTTTATTATAGTGCCTTAATTAAGATAGTTGTTTAACTTTATCACCGTCTTTTCCAAGACACATGTGGTAGATGAAGTAGAGCTCATGGGTTTAATTGACCTCTGCATTTGAAGGATAATGTGGTCAACACTAGGCTTAGCCATCTTTGTTTCCCTAACGTGAGTCGTGTACCCATCAGAGCTGGGTGGACTCAGGGATGTCCTACAGACATGTTTTTGGTGATCTGGACTCATGACTTACAGTATATTTGTTATCTGGTTACCTGCAAGACATCCATTACTATGCGGCAATAAGTCAACAATACATGGTATAGGCACATTTGACTGTACCATGTAAGAATAATCTCAGGTGCTGTTACACTTGGCCTATGATGTTTATTGGCTTGTTGAGCCAGGTGGAACAAAGAAGAAAAAGAACACAATCAATCACTAGAACTCGAAGGCACTCACAAAAATGACACCTTTTTTTGTAACATTATGCCTCCAATGATCTCCACACATTCGATCCAATTCACAACCTACTCTAGCCTTGCTGTACAGTTCTGCCATACTATACACACTTGTCAGTGGAGGAGGGCACTCTCTCTCACTGCTTATGCATTGTTTACATTTTAAAATGACCATCAGCATAGCTGCATTGTACTAAAGTAAAGGGTTAAATATGTATTTCTAATGCTAACAGATATATTTGTTATTCTTTTGCAGGAGGCACTAGAAGAATCTGATGACTCAGATGATGAGGATCTGTAGAACAAATGATGATACACCTGTTTGAAAGTTTGCGTTACATATGAGATGTTAATACAACTGAATGTCATATTATAAAATAAAATGGAACTGATGGTTTGGACAAAGTTAAATACTAAACTCACTTTTTAGCATTGCTTACGTTTCTATTATTATAGAACTTGGTTTGAAGCTTTTTTTTTTTTTTGTAAAGTTTTGATCAAATGACCCTGTTTCAGGACTATATTGAGTAATAAATTAATTAAAAAACAACCATCATTGTATTTAATAAGGTTAAATCTTTAATGCAGATGTAGGGTTAACAAATACATGGGTTATGTCTAACCTACAGATCAGTTTGACAACTGTACTGTTTTGGTGGCCTACATTGGGTTCATGGCGAATGCATTTCAGAATGAATGAATGTCCAATTGTTAAAACTTTTTTTTAAATCTTGAATAATGTAATTTTTAAATTATGTGAATAAATATTTCACTTAATCATTATTGGTCTTGGGTTGTATATGTTTTACAAATTTGTAGTCGATGGTGTCTTATCATAGCATTAAGTTTGCACTGATTCACAAAGTATTATTTTTGCAACAAAATTAAAATCACGTTCAAATGAGGCTTAATCATTCATGAATCTAGCATAGTTACCTCTCCTTTAAAAGTATGAAAATCGCTTGAGCAACAGAGACTGAAAAAACTATACAGTGCCTACAAACTAGGTTGGTACTTCTTGGTGTGGCTCTTCAGTGTTGTTGAAAAAAAACTTTTGGTCATGAGGATGATAATTTTTATAGACAGTTCCTTTACATAAGTTGTTTGATGGTCCCCATATTTAAGCTTGCTCAACTTATAACCTGTAAGTCGGAAGTTCAGAATGCAGTATGGATTGAGCAGGACATACCCAAGTCCACCCAGCTCTTATAAGTACCTGAATCGCATTAGGAAAAGTAAAAGCATGAACTCTACTTCAGTCCCTTGTGGATCATCAAGTCTAAAAGGCGAACTTTAGCTTGTTATATTAAGCTATTTGTTGTGTGACATGTCTTTTTCTTAGTGTTAAGTTAAGTATTTTTAAAGAAGTAAAAAAAAAACTAGAAATTACCACATTAAACCAGAAAAATGTGTTTATAATTATAAGGAAAGAAATGAATATTAAGCAGACCGAGACAAATTTAGATGCAAAAAAAAAATGAAACAAACTGAGAATCAACAATTATATCCACATAATACAAAGATAGGGTAATGAAGCTTCCACCATTTTAAAATTGAATAAATAATTAGGGTTGAATACATTAAAGAACAGATTGATATCACCCAAGAGAACATCTACAGAGAAGTAGAGCTGGAAAAATAATGCACTGTCATCATCTTTTCCCAATCATTGACACATTGGGCAGATGACGTGAGTTAAGTACCCATCAGATCTGGGTGGACTAAGGCAGAGGCGTAGCTGGGTGGGGGTGTGCAGACAGCACCGGGTGACACCATTTAAAGGTGTGACGCCAAGGCAAAATATTGCAAAATGTACAAAAGAAATATGCTTTTTGCCAGTTCTATTAATCATTAATTAAAGTTAAATAGTCTGTTAAGTACAAATCCACAATTATTACATGGTGGAGGGGTGGCACCATGACGTAAACGCGCTAACTTTAGAGAAAAAAGTGACTAAAGCTTATACACATACGTGTATATATATATATATATATATATATATATATATATATATATATATATATATATATATATATATATATATATACATATACAGAGGCGTAGCGAGGGGGGGGGGGGCGGGCGGGGGTGCGGCCAGCACAGGTGACACCATTTAGGGGGGTGACACCAAGGCTAAAAATAGCAAAATATATAGAGAAAAACTTGAGGGAGAGGGGGGGTTCAAATCGAAAGTTTGAGGGGGGGGGGAATGCAAATCGAAAGTTTGAGGGGGGGGGGGTACAAATCGAAAATTTGAAAGTTTGTCCCCGGAAGGGTCGCTACGCTTCTGGGGGGTGACACCATTAAGTGCCGCACCGGGTGACACCCGACCTCGCTACGCCACTGTACATAATTATATACACTTTGTTTACACCACGAAGTGCCGCATCGGTTGACACCCGAAATTGCGACGCCACTGGACTAAGGGACGTTCTACCGACTTGAACTCAAGCATTTTTCTGGTTAGTAGTCTAGCGCTCTACCGATTGGTCACGCCGTTCCTGATGGACTATAATACAGAGATACATAATTATTTAATGTGCACAGTTTGATACAATCTCACAGAAAAGGGATCTGAAATAATTGTCAATTTATAGACAGGGAAAAAAACTAGTGCAATACCTCATCCATCAAAGGGGTGACACAATATTAAAAACTTTTTCTGAGAAAACAATGCATTTTCCTGTTGAGTCGATTGCATAGTTAGGCACATATTCATTCACGTCCTTTTATGGGAGGGGACCTGTTACTATCAACTTTTGCATTTTAAAAAGTTATCAATGAAACTGCAGCTTTGAAAGGAGTATGTAGGCTGGTGTATGGCGTCATATTAAAGAGTAGTGACATGGATTTTTTTCTGTCGATGGAGCATGCGAAGGTAAAATTGTTTTAAAAACGTAACTTGGTTTTTTTTTTAAGTTGCAAGTTGTTTCAACTAAATTTACATTGTCTATTAGTATTTCATACTCATTACTTTAATACATGTATGAATATTTCCGTGTACCCCACCACCATATATATTCACTGTATTCTACAATTTCAATTTTCTTCCGTAAATCAAACAAGGACCGTTAACTCTTCAGCGATTGGTTACAATGAGTGGCTTTCTCTTGTTGTTATAGTCGCCATAAAGATGACCTACTTAAAATAATGGCCAAAGTAGCGAGTGCTTTCGATGGAGTAAGTAAACTCTTGGTTGTAATATAATACTAAGATTTTCTTTTTGACTATTATTATAATCTCATGTAATTCTATTTGAATGATAACTGCGTAAACTCTACTAGACAGTTATTACTGGATCTATACTCTATACATTTTATTATCCTTTCTAGTAAATTTATTCGTAAACTTTAAAATTTATCGTCTCGTTTTTTAAATTTCTGATCTAGATCTATATTTCTAGATCTTATATACTTTATGTTGCAAGATTATTATACGTTTATTTTAGTTACCATTGTCAGGGAAATGGGTATGGAAAGACGACCCAGAGCATCCTAGTTTGGAATTTGTCAGGTTAGCAATATTAATTTGTAGTTTGCAGTGCACTCAACGGGTTCTGTGGTGTAGTGGTTATCACGTCTGCTTTACACGCAGAAGGTCGCGAGTTCGAACCTCGCCAGAACCTCGTTGTATTTTTGCTTCTGATTTTCTTCACTCCCAGTTCCTTCATGCCTCCATGTATTAATGATTCATTTAATTAAACTTAGATTCACATATATTAAAGCACATGTTTTGATGTTACTATAATTTTGTCTTTTAATGACTGCATTTTTGTAATATATATTACATTATTTTCCTACTGTTTTTTCTATATAACACTATTTTTATTCAACCTGATAACACAATAAAAAAGAATTTTGTCTTTGCTATCATTGTTAAGGAACATTTTGTCCATCTAAAGTTTTGGGTTAATAAAAAAAAGTTCTTGAATTAGGCTAAAGATAAAAAGTAAAAATATGATTTAGCTTAGGATACAACATTAGATGTTTGTTTTCTGTATGCTTACTAATATTATTTTAACTAGGCCTGTTGTGTTTTAAGTATTTTTAACATTATTCTTACGCAGCAATAATCCCAATGCTGACAAACATGAGAAGAAAAGAAGAGCAAAAGGGCATGATGCTAAAGGAAGATCAGACAGGTGATTTTTCTGGAATTAACTGTATTGGTAGATAGACTAAAGGGTCGTCCATAAATGACGTCACACTCATAGGGGTCCTGTAACTTTGTGATGAGGGATGGGGGGGGGGGGGGGGGTTCAGATGGTGTGACGTTACACTTCTGCATTATTAAAAAAAAAGCTATGTTCAGACAAGATTTTGGAAAAATATCGATGTTTTTAAGAAAAAATTCAACCATTTTTAATAATGTAAAATTGTAGTTTTCATGACATATAATATTTTTAAACGGTAAACATAAAGCGACAAAAATCTTACAGCTGCAAATTACCATGACACAGTTTTCATTTCTTTTACTTTTTTTTGTGCCAAAAACTGATGTGTTAGGTACTTTGTCTAATCACTTTATATTTAATATTCACCATAGGCAGCTGAAATGAATACATAATCCCATGTTAAAAGCAACATTATACTGTGTTTTTCTTCTGACTGAAGGTCCTATCTATTATTTCTATAGGGCAGCTTCAGGTCTACAGAGAGTACGAGGTGCAGCATCTGTCCTCAACACCCAAAGCTTCAAACGGACTGGTAAAAAAGATCCAACCCAACATTCACATGTAACATTGAAGGATATCAAAAGTTAGCAGTTTGGAATTTTATTTTACATAATTTTAATTACACAAATAACAGTGGGTTTAGTATCTTCATCATTGTATCACGATTTAAGTTTTTTCTTCTGTTTTTCATGACTCTATTGTCTATGCTGGGACCAGTATAGGTATAGAATATTTTCTTTTTCTGAAGATGCATAAAGTTCCCAGATGTATTTTTTTTTATTAACTATTTTGGTTGGTGTAGATTTAATTTAAAAATGTGAAATGTTTGTGATCAATCTATACAGCCATCCTAGATATTTTTGTGATCACTAAAAAAATAAAATTCTCATATATTAAATATTCATTTATTTCATATAAAGCTGCCGAGATAAAATGACACATATTTATACCCCATATTATCTCTTCTGCTACTGAAGTTGTTTTTTTTAACATAAAAATAGGTTCCCCTATCTATCTTGTGAATGTTTGAAGGGAAAAGTACATGTATACTTTTTGTAAAATCAGTCTTTTTCTTGTCATTGTATCATCATCTCTTAGAACCCATAAGCAAAATGGTGCCAATTTGTCCAGTACCTTGTTATAACTTCTGCCTGTTGGAACCATAAGCCACCCTCCATCAACTCTTTCATCTTTGATCTTAGCCTCCTTTATTTTCTCTTCCCTGTATCACTACTTACCCTAACATGAGAAAAAACTTATGTTTTGTTAGGTGTTTCATTGGAAAGAATGTCTGAGGTTGATTCCATTCCTCATCAGTTTACTGACCTAATCAGGTTTGTTTACTCTTACTATTATTGTTCCTTAAAAAAAAATAATCAGATTCTTCTTTTTATTATGGGACAGCATGACCAAGCGGTAGTGCACTAGACTGCTAACCCAAATGTCTCAAGTTCAAATCCAGGTTCAAATCAGTAGAATCTCCCTGAGTCCACCCAGCTCTGATGGGTGCCTAAGTCATGTTAGGTAAAGCAAAGGCGGCTGGTTATAGTGCTGACCACATGATCTTCATATTCCGAAGTCACAGAAACAGGTGAACTCTACTTCATTTGCCCCATGGTGCGCCAGGTTCGAAAAGTGTTAACTTTAACTTTTAATTTTTTTTATTTGTGTTAAATGTTTTATCTGACACAGACTCTGTTTTTCTTCAGCCAAGATCAGTTTGATTTCTTTCTTCTGTACCTGCTGAGCTATTTCAACTGTTACTTTCACAAGATGACACTGGAGAACAAGAAGAACCCAATGTACATGTAAGTCTTTGACAGCAAAAAAAAAAAAAAACACATTGGTACCCACAACATTGTTGTATGTAAATCAATAATCAACCCCCCACCACCACCACCCAAAACGAATAACTATCTTACTGGTGGTGATATAAACAACACATTCTTTATGCTTACTAGCAAATTAAATTAAAGACTAACAATGTATTAAGTGAATCATCATAATTTTATTTTTTTGTGCCAAAAAACTGCGATCCAACTTAGTCTTGTGGCATTGACAGGGTGAAACTCTTGAAAAGTGTTCAGTGGGTACCCATGTAAAATAATTTTTTCTTGAAAACAAAAAACTATCACTTTTTCTATTTTTAAAATTTATTCCTTTTTTTTCTCTTGTATAACAGTCTCAATCTTATATTCATTTTATATTTATTTTAAAATAAATGTTTACAATTTTGAAGCTGTTAGAAAAAGAATTGCATAAACAACCTGATACAGCATTTTTCTCTTCACACTCCCCAGAACCCCATTACTTAATAACCCACACACAACTGTACAAACAAAGTAAACCTCACACACAAACTTTCACCATGGCTTTAGGTTGACAAATGAAAGTCATTGATTCAAATAAGTCTTAGCTTACATTAAACGTTCTGTATAGTTTATTGCTATACAGCACCAAAGCATCAACCCTTTATATTGAATGTTGTGTAATACCAGTATAGAGGTATATAGAGGAGGTTAAATAATGTTTTAACATTCTCATTAAGTAGAAATTAATTAATTTTCTCAGTGCTAGCTAAGACATGCATGTTTTTTAGCGCAATTTCCATACTGGACAATTGCGATTATTAACTCGTCATTTGTGGATGGATGTGCGCAGCTTTAAGTCGTATCTCCTCCTCAACGAAGCAATAACGAGGACTAGTTCCAAAGCAAATATGTTAAGCAAGTTCCGAGGATGATTGTGGGCCAAAAAAATTCCCAGAATTCCTTCCTCGATTTCCCGGAAAAGCCAAAAAAACATAGAAAAAACGCAGTTTTTGGCCCATATCTCGGCAACCAGACCACTTAGCGACTTGAAACATTTACCAATCGATTCCTGCCATAATTTAGAACAATATTGCCGAAGAAAGTTTTCAAAAATATCCTTTCGTTCAGTCACAAAATTTTTTAAAAAATTACATAAACACCTACAAACCGATCGTTTTCCTAGCTTGAACGCACCCCAGCATTATACGTCATGTGTTTTGTCCCCATGTGTGCTTTACGCTACGACAGAGCTATTTTTAGATAACATAAGGAAATTGCGCTTAAATTGTCACTAGACTTTTTATTAACTTGTTTTAAAATCATAATTTGAAATTTTTAAACTTCTTTTGTCATATGTCATTAGCTTAAATTAATTAGAAAGAAAGAGGTATTTTAATGTTACTTTGCGAATGTTTTTGACATGAACTTATATAGTAGAAATTAGATATTGATTTTTTTCATTGCTTGCTATGATATGCATGCTATTTTAAAAAAAAAAACATAATTTGTATTCATTTTACTTTTTTGTTATATGAACCTAACTATAATATATTGGGTAAGTTTTATATTACATTGTTTGCAAACACGTTTTTGTAAAAGTCAATTTCCATTAATTGTTGCTTATATTCACTTGCTTTAGTTAAAGAAATAATTTTTAAAATTTTTATTTGTACAACAGCAAGAACAAAATACACAGCATGGTAAACGATAGAAAAGGTTTTGTTCACAGGAAAGTTGTCACATATATCATAAGAGTTATCACCCTTAACCATTTTATTTTGATGATTGCTTTGAATCAGAAAGATTTCACATAGAGAAAGTAAATGAAAATCACGGCTTTTACTCCCTCAGTTTAGCAAGTCATCTTTGACTGCATTACCAAATCACATCTAATTTTAGGACAACCTACTTAATAACTCGTAATCAATAGCCTAGTGTGTGTTGTTAGTTCACCCAGCTCAAACAAGTACCTGACATAGATTAGAGAAGTAAAAAGGCAGATGGTAAAACTATCCCCTCGTATGATATGATCACAGCAGGGCCTACCATATACTTTTACTGTATAAGTTTACGTTCTTTCATAAAATTGTGAATCACATTGTGATGTTGATCATAGTGGGGGGCCTACCATATATTTTTAATGAATACCTTTTACATTCTTTCACTTGATGTACATTGTTAATCACGTTGTAATGTTATATGATGTACAATGTAATTTAAGTTCTCGCTAACTGAACCTTGTTAAAACATATGTCTGGTTAAATCACCATTACAGCCAGTGGCGTATGCAGGGGTGGTGTTAGTGGGGGGGGGGGTGTGCTGCTATTGGCGATGATGCAAGTGTGTCATTATGGTTTTTTTTTAATTTGAATGCCACAAAAGAGTTATATTAAATTGATTTGGGAAGATTATATATATATATATATATATATATATATATATACATATATATATATATATATATATATATATATATATATATATATATATATATATATATATATATATATATACACAATGTTTTTGTTGGCCTATTTATATAATGCAACCCATAGGGACAATAGGCAATAGGTCAAGTATTAACAAATATCCCAAAGTTTTTGGTATTGACCAATATCTATCTGTGAATTTTAGTTATAATCAATTAAAATAAAGTTAGAGAGAGCTCCCCTAAACTTTCTCGTACACAACAGTAAGTTTTGGGATGGCACTTCTGGGTTATTGATAAATCAGAAACAGGGTAATTCAGACCTACCACTTTCAATTACTGAAAAGGGCTCAAAATTTGAGAGACATGGTATATATAATCTAATACTTCTAATACTTGAAAATTTTGTCCACCCAACTGTAATGGTACTCAAGTCATTCGTGTTTGAGAAATTGGAAAAAGCATAATTACAACTCCTGGTGATGTAACATTGCTTGAAAGATGACAGAAACCTACAGACATATGGTATTTAATATTAAATTTCGTCCATGTAACTGAAACAATACTCAAATTATGGTTTTGACACATAAAAATAGGCCTACATACAAGATTGCAAGACTGTGTGTTTCTTTTAAGTGTCCAGATGTCAAAATGTCCAATTCTTTTTTTTCCACATGATTTAAATACTTTTTTAAAGTTTAATTTATTTCCTTCCACACAGTTCACTAATTTCAAGCTTGGAGCTTGCTGTGTGGATAGGTTGCAAACTAATACATTAAAATACATGAAATACACAGTATTGCATACAGTTTTACATTAAAAGGAAACAATTTTCATTTCCTGAATTTTCTCTTGTTCTTTTGTCTATGTGTAGTTTTGTCTTACATTTCCTATAAAGAACATAACATCACAAAACATTACATGATCGCTTCTTTTCTTTGTATTCTTGGGCCCATTTTTGCATTTAAACAATCTTTAAGTAGTGGTTGATCTTTGTTGGTAGTTGTAGTTTAGGTTGTTCTGAAATCTTGAAGTGGTGACATTCGGTTCGTAGTTTTGTGTAAACAAAGAGTTCTGTGTTGGTATTGTAGTGATGATGTAATGGGTCCTGTGTTGTTGAGTTGTTTTTGTAGTGATGATGTAGTGGGTCCTGTGTTGATGAGTTGGTTTTGTAGTGATGATGTAGTGGGTCCTGTGTTGATGAGTTGGTTTTGTAGTGATGATGTAGTGTGTCCTGTGTTGATGAGTTGGTTTTGTAGTGATGATGTAGTGGGTCCTGTGTTGATGAGTTGGTTTTGTAGTGATAATGTAGTGGGTCCTGTGTTGTTGAGTTGGTTTTGTAGTGATGATGTAGTGGGTCCTTTGTGGTTGGGGTGGTTTTGTAGTAATGATGTAGTGGGTCCTGTGTTGTTGAGTTGGTTTTGTAGTGATGATGTAGTGGGTCCTGTGTTGTTGAGTTGGTTTTGTAGTGATGATGTAGTGGGTCCTGTGTTGTTGAGTTGGTTTTGTAGTGATGATATAGTGGGTCTTGTGTTGTTGAGGTTTCTTATATAGCTGTCGTTGATGGTAGATTTGATCCTAGGAAATGTAGCTTGTAGAGGGCTGGTGAGGTGGTATCATTGTCCTGAAGTATTGAGATAAGATATCAAAGTGTGTTGTCTTTGGTCTTGTAGCTGTAGATTAGTTTATGTCTTTTAGTTGCAAATAGAGCTTGATGATATGAGGAGAGATCATAATAATCGAGGGTCGGGTAGTTTTGAATCTCTTGAGTTTGGGATATCGAGTTGAAAGTAAATTGTTTTTGAGGGGTCAAGAGTTGATTTGTTGTTGGTTGGTAGATGGGGGTTGAGTAATCGTGTGTTGGAAATTGCAAGTTGAGAATGTATTGGTATAAAACTTTATTTGGGTGACGCTTTTAGTTTGTTGAGAGACGAAGAATCAGGCGTTGTGAAATTTAAATAGTCGAGTTGATAGTTGAGTATAGTTCGTCGAGATTATCGTAAGTTTGATGGTGTTGTGATGGAACGTCCTACCAAGGATTGCTCCAAGGTACGCGTTGTCTAGATGAAAAAACAAAAATGGATGATTAGCCACCTGTACATTAAAGCCATCAAGTTACTAGTACTCTGCAACTCTTCCCCAGAGCTTTTATTAGAGCACTCAAGGGATCAGTAATCTCACCCTTAAAGGGTCCTTCGAACTGACTAACCCAGGGGTTGGCAACCTTTTGAAACGGAAGAGCCAAAAGTTACAATTTTCAAAATTTCCCAGGTTTTAAAGAGCCACTAACAATTTTTTTATTTCAAGTATTTTATTTTTTGATTAAGATTATTAGTATTTGTGCAAGGAGCTGGAGAGCCGCATCTTGACATCATAAGAGCCGCATGCGTGAGCCGCAGGTTGCCGACCCCTGGACTAACCATAATTATAATCTTCTAATAAAAATGTTTTTATAGCCTGAAAGTGAAAGCTATCAGCCTAAAAATGAAAGCACTATGACTAATATGTCAAAATAAATTTTCAGAACTTAATTAAAAGAAAAATTAAATCCAGCTAGCATTTTTCTTTTATAACTTTGAATGTAATTTTTTATTCAAACTGGCATACCTTTAAAATTGTTCACATTATTTCAAAAGAACTTTTTTGTCTTAATGTTTTTCATAAAAGTTAACAATGATTAATGATTCCCTTTTAACTCTAATGCACATATGCAAGCTTTGGGGAATTAATTTTATATTCTCTCCCTTTGGTGTTTATTGTTGAAAATGGGCAGTAACTGACACAAATTTATATTTTTTTTAAATTCATCATCTCAAGCTGTCCTTTAAGTAAACTTAATAAATACATATTCAAAATATTATTGTATTGAGGAAGAGTTTTAAGTAATATCTTCAGGAGTGTAGAAAACATTTTACATTATATTATCCTTTGTGTACATAATAGTGATTTTGTACATTAGAGGTGCTGGTGATGAAGATTAAGCGATTAACACACATTGAAAGCAAATTATGTAATCTTAGGCAAAGTTACAGTCGCATGATTTTGACTTCTATGCAATGTATAAAAGTATTATTTTTCATTTATAAGTATTATATCATATTTGTAGTTCTCTATCAACTTTCATTTATAAATATTATACCAAATTTGTAGTTCTCTATCAACTTTCATTTATAAATATTATACCAAATTTGTAGTTCTCTATCAACTTTCGAGCGACTTCTGGTACTTACTCTACTTTTGGTTTTTTAAAAGCTGATAACTTAAGTACCGTTTAATTTAAGTGGACAAAATTTCACATATATAAAGTACATTGTATACACAAGTTTCTCTCAACTTTTGAACAATCTCTGGTAACTTTAAGGGTTACTTTACTTCAGTGGCGTAGGCAAAGGGGGGGGGGGGTATTAACCCCTTCCATGGACTCACACCCCTATATATATATATATATATATATATATATATATATATATATATATATATATATATATATATATACCTATATATATAATGATTTTATACATATGGAAAAATATTTGAACCCCTCCCATGACCAATTCCTGGCTACGCCACAGCTTTACTTTATTTACTTTTGAAATTTATTTTTATTAAATTTTATCTAAAGTAAATTTGGGCTTGTTTTTTTCACGTAGTGAACCAAGCATTTCAGAAAAGTTGGAGTATGCGAATGCATGTGACCGTCTTACTGTGGCTCAAAAATTGTTGGGAAGGGCGTACTGTGTCCTGGTATTGGGACTAGGCTTACAAGAGCAGCATCATATGGAATGTGGGAGGTGAGCGTGACTTGTAAAATCTGATGTGTTTTTTAAAGTCTTTCCAAACATCACATGTTCATGTTTGTGATCAAGAGATGGTGTTATATTTCCAGTACTTAAATGATTTTAACAGTAAAAGATTTCCTCTCTAGCTTATTAGTAAAGTTCCACTTCACAACCTGATGGTCAAGTGAAGTAGAGTTCACTTGTTTCTGCGACCATCGGCTTATGAAGGGATAGTGTGGTCAGCGCTATGCCTAGCCATCTTTACTTACCCTAACATGAGTTAGGTACCCATAAGAGCTTGGTGGATTCAGAGACAATCTACTGACTTGAACCTGGATTTAAACTCGAGACTTATGAGTTAGCAGTCTCTCTACCGATAGGCCACTCCGTCCCTCCACTTGCTTATTAGTGTATATATATGTATGGTGTATATAAAATGTTTAAATAGCAGTTTGTTTTTTCCCTTTTCAGGTCCAGAGTTTCCAAGACTTACACTGATCGCAGCCTGTTTGAAGTAAGCTTACTTTTTCCTTGGAAAATTTAAAAACTCAAATTTTTTTTTTTTGAGTCATAACTGGTCTAGTAATTTGTTTAGTAATGATTGCTGAAGTAACCCAAAGCATGAGACACATGTAACACATTACTAATTGTTGTAAATAGTGGAATTTGTATTTTTAAAAAAGTAACGTGAAAGTGAACCCAATAACAAGTCTGTGGTTGCATTTTTATTACAAAAGTTTTGTATTGCGTTTGCTAAACAAATTGAACATTCAGTTGTTACAACTTCAATGATGACAAAATCTTTGTCATAATTCCAATCGCAAATTCTTAGCAGAAGTTATTTTACAATTTGGAAATGGAGTGTTAATTTTGTGGTCAAGGTAAAAAAAATAATTTAGGCATTATATGGTTAAAGTTACCACTCCACATTCTCCACAGACATTCTATACCTACTGTACTTTTGTGGTGTGGATCAATTTTCGTAGAAAAGAATTTGATGCTGTAAAGAAAGAAATCGGCAGGTAAAATATAATTTTTTTAACAGCTAATAATATAATAAAAAATAATTACGGAACTGACATTTTTATGTTATTTAAAATTCATCAATCTAGTTTTTAAAATCCTAGCTTAATAAAAATCAAATTGGCTGTTTAAAACTTATAAATATTTTAAATACAAATATATTTTAATATTAAAAAACTTCCTCTACTTTGATTTTCTCACTTTTCACAGAATTTTACGCTCCAACACATTTAATCCAGCCATCCGTATCAAGTATTCACCTGAAGGTAAGAAAAAATTTCTAAGTCTAAGGGAAGTAAAAAGTATTCACCATGCATTTTTTTTTAAAGTTAAAACCTAAGCTTTGAGTCAGTGCAATACTATTTTAAACCTATCACTTTATTTTTATTTTAGTTTAGAAATTGTACACTAAAAGTGTATTGTTTGGATTCAAATAATGAAACATATTTTATGCTGTTTGAAGAATATGAATAAAAGTATTCTTCACATCTATTTTCTAATTACTTCCCTTAAGCTGTTGATTAGGCTATATAGTATATTTTTCTGTTTCTCATAAAACAGTAAAATTATTGTATACAGCATGTGTCAAGTGACTTCTCTTTACAAGCTAATTGTAGTATTTATTTTTGTTTTGTTAATTTGATTATTTTAGAACCCAAAGAGACCGATCCATCAAAAACAGTCAAGAAAGTTGATGAGGAAGGTGAAAAACAAAAACCAGAGGAACCGAAGCCAACGCCAGCGGAATACAGACGCTTACACCCGTAAGTTGACAGATATATTGTTAAATCTTACAGATATATTGTTAAATCTTACAGATATATTGTTGAATCTTACTTTTTATAAAGATTTTTGTTGACAGATATATTGTTAAATCTTACTTTTTATAAAGATTTTTGTTGACAGATATATTGTTAAATCTTACTTTTTATAAAGATTTTTGTTTTACTTTTTGAATTGTCATTATATTTATAAATGTTATTCATCTTCAATAATAAGTGTTTGTTGAAACGGAAAATATTTTAAGTTGTGTCCTATAGCAAAAGGTTACTTGTCATACATCAGACATTTTTTTGTTATCTCCCTTTATTTGATGTTTATATTCACTTACATTTTTACTTTCTCGTATATACGAAGTATAGAGAAAGTCTTGTAATCGTGCAAAAAAAAATCGAGATTTTTACAAATCTCGACGTTTTACAACCCACTGATACGGAAAAACATAAATTTGCAATCTTGTCCTTATGTCTGTGTGTCTGTCTGTCTGTCTGTGTGTCTGTCTGTCTGTGTGTAAACACGATAACTTGAGTACCGTTACAGCTAGGTTGATGAAATTTCATATATAAGTATTTTATCAAAATCGTAGATACGTATCAACTTTTGAGCGATTTCCGATAACCGGAAGTGGTACTTATTCTACTTTGAATTTTTCAAAAGCCTATAACTTGAGTACTATTTCAGATAGATAAATGAAATTTCACATTTAGTAAAAGATCTAATTCTCTACCTTCTATCAAATTTTGAGTAATTTCCGTTGACGGGAAGTAGTAATTTACACTATTTCCGATTTCTCAAAAAACGCATGTAAATTTAAAAAGTACTAATACTATTGCGCACTATTATGCACATTTTGTTTTGGTGTTCGCTTGGTGCGCATTTTTTTTTTCTACGAGATTCTATTCTATTTTTAAAAGTTAAGTAATTAAAAATCATGTCTATATTCCGAGTTATATAAGAATATTCGAGAAAGTTTAGGGGAGATCACTCCTGGTTTATTTATTTAGGCCTGCACTTATATACATTTTGAAGTCTGAAAAATTGAAATGTAATTTTGTTTCATCTTCAGAAAAAGACCAGCAATAAAATCTATCGTAAAGTAAGTTTGATTTGGTTTTTTGAAACACCTTTTTTGTTTAATTAAATGCTTTTAAATTAAAAAAAAACCCACTAAATATACCAGCTAAGAATGTAAATTAATACAGTATAAAAAATAATATCCAATCCTTCTTAAAATTCACACTATTGAATGTTATCCAATCCAACTTTCAGTCAAAGATCCCCAGCTATTGTCTCAATTATTCCCTCACCAAAAGAGGAAGCAGCCTGGTTATTCAAGAAACCACAGCTACAAAAAGACAAGTGAGTTTTGCATTGTTATTTTAAGCGTCAATCTCAGATAGAGGCTCTGGGTACAAACCTATAGCTTCAAGTAATGCTGTTTCACTTAGCCATGCAATGCAGATTTTCAGTCAAGTATTAAAAACACACTTTCTGAAGAAAATTCCTGCTACCACCATTTTTAACTTTTTTTAGAAAAGATTTTGCAAAACATTTTTCCTAAAATTAAAAACCGATAAATGAATTATTTTTACAGATGAGTTTTTATTATCTACATCTACATGCCAACACATTTCATCCAAAAATTTTACTAATTTATGATATTATCTCAAGTTTTCTTGTTTTGTTTATTTGAACATTGTTTGTATCATTCACAGCCCAGGTATGAAGAAAGACAATGATGAGTTTGAAAACTTTGATGAAAAATATTCAGATCTAATACTGGACATCAACACATTCAAGCAAGTATTTTATTCGTTGGTTCTATATTTGGACTGGTCAGATTATATTTTCTGGCAAATTATTTTTTACGAGCCGGCCCGCGGCATAACATACGCCGCTATTTAGTTGTTTCTAATTTTCAATAATTCATAATTTGTGAATTCGACAGTACCAACGCTGACACTGAAAATATTTCTTTAAAACACTATAAGTAGCTCGTTAAGGACCATAACCCCCCCCCTTCCTTCCCGCCCCCTCCCCCCCCCCTACGTTTAAAATCGTTGGCTCTGCTTGTAAACATTTAGAGTGAACACAGCTCACTAAAACCATGTAGGGGTGGGGAGTTAGGGAGAGCGTTTGCAGCTTGTTTTCTAACGGCTCGAAGAAGAGAATTATATATATAGATTTTACAGGGTACAATATAAAAGTTAGTAGTATGTGTGTCATGCTCTTTCATTCCAGCAAGTATATTACACTTTGTTTCTAAATTTAGCCCAGCCAATAATTATTTTGGATATTATTATTATTTATGTTTTCAACAATGTATGTTATTTCAGCTGTTGGAATGCTTTAGGTACTGTTTTAAGATGGTTTACTATTCAAGTATTTTTATTACAGCAAGCACTTCTTCTTTTCCTGTTAATGCAGAAGACACATAGGGCAGATGAAGTAGAGTTCATCTGTTTCGATGACCTCGGCATATGAAGGTATAATGTGATCAACACTATGCCAGGCCACCTTTGTTTCCCAAATTTGAGTCAGGTACCCATCAGAGCTGGGTGGGCTCAGGAACATCCACAGTCACTAGCCCAAACTGAGATCCGAACTGTAGACCTTCAGGCTAGAAGTCAAACGCTCTGCCATTCAACCACAAGCTAGCACTGTTACCACTATTAATTGATCATCTTCTTGGAATGATCTTCTTCTTCATAAACCCATTTGTGCCGAAGACACTTGGGGCAGATGAAGTAGAGTTCATCTGATTCAAAGACAGCCGCACATAAAGGGATAGTGGGGTCAGCACTATGCCCAGCCACCTTTGTTTCCCTAACATCAGAGCTGGGTGTACTCAGGGATGTTCCACTGATTTAAACCCAGATTTGAATGGTAGCGCTGAACAAAATTTTAAAACAACTTTTAAACTGGGCTTGATCTTGTAGGACTGGCATCCTGGGAGAACCTTATCACTTGTTCAACGCACAGACTCTGTCACCATTGGGGGCAGAAAATGAGGAGAATGAAGTGGAGGATGCAGATAAAGGGTGAGAGGCCGTGCGGCGTCAAAACGGCCAATGACAAAACGGCCCCGTCAAAACGACCCCGACAAAACGGTTCCGTCAAAACGACCCCGTCAAATCGGCCCCGTCAAAAGGGCCAGCGACATATGGACCCCGTCATATAGGCTCCCGTCATTTAGGCTACCGACAAATAGGCTCCCGTTATATAGACTCCCGACAAAAGGGCTCCAGTCAATAAGGCTCCTTACAAATAGGCTCCCGTCATTTTGGCTCCCGACATATAGGCTCCCGTCATTTGATTTTTTCCACAAAACGGCCCCCGTCATTACGACTCCCGATAAATAGGCTCCCGCCATTTAGTTTCTCCACAAAACGGCCCCCGTCATTACGACTCCCGACAAATAGGCTAGCGTCATTTTGGCTCACGACAAAAAGGCTCCTGTCAATTTGGCTCCAGACAAAAGGACCACTGACACAGTGGCGTAGCTACCGTAAAGCTAGCGTAAGCAAGGCATAGGGGCCCAAGGCACATAGGGGCCCTTTTCCCTCACAAAAAATTAAAACTTTTACAATGGAATTTTAATATTTGTTACATACAAATAATTTTTAAAAAGTAAAAGGTTAAAAGTTCCAAAAAGCCCCCCCCCCCCACCGTTTCGGCAGTGGGATTCAGTGTTTGTGGGTCAAACAGAGCCCAATCGTTATAATAACACTACAGGCGATATCACTTTGTCGTGCAAGACATTGAGAGAATCAGCCTATAAATAAACTTTTTAGCAGTAGTAGGCAAACATAATAATATAGTATAAATACATAATCAGGACATATAAAATACAAAATGTTGCCTTCAGAATATTTATATATTAAAAAAATATCCATCGCAAGTAGAAGTTGATCTCTTCGTTTAACTCCTCTGTAGCCTAACGCAGAGGCGTAGCGAAGGCGGGGCGGGGGGGTGCAGACCGCAGCGGGTGACACCATTTGGGGGGGGGGGGTGACACCAAAGGCAAAAAATTGCAAAATTTATAGAATGAAATGCCATTTTTCCAGATCCATTAGTTAAAGTTAAATAGTCTTCTAAGTACAAATCGAAAATTATATCAAGAGGGGGGGGGGGGGGGGGGGGTTGACACCACGACGTAAACGTAAGCTATAAAGAAAACAATGCTACATCCAACTGTATAACTGTATTATAAACAGACTGTAGATAAACATCGTTACTATTAAGTCTGCAGTGATTAAAACTTAAACACTTACGTGTACCAGTATGTGGCATATATATAAATTTTAGGCCTATGTAGGCCGACACACACACACACACACACACACATATGCTTTGTTTCCTGGGAGGGGGGTGACAATACGAAGTGCCGCACCGGGTGACACCCGACCTAGCGACGCCACTGGCCTAATGGCCGACGAATTGGCCCACTGATAATTTTTGCATTGGGCCCAAAAATCCTAGCTACGCCACTGCACTGACAATGCCGTTTCTGTAGAGACTAAGACTCCCGGTCATTGAATATGACACCTGCCAGTGGGACCCCTTCATCAATATTCTTTAGAGTTAGCTTATCAAACACTCTTATGTAATACAACGTATGCATCTCTAATTCGTCAGGCCTTATTTTTATATTAGTTTATCAATTATAAAATATAATAAGTTTTAATTTAGGGGTCATCTATCTATGACATCCATAAATGAGTCGGTTATAGGCTGTTCCAACTCAGTGTGTGGGGAGAAGGGTCCACGCTGTACCTTCCTAACTGCAGTATGCTTGTAGGTTATCAATACAAAATGCTGTTATCATGTAAACATCATGTATATCAAACATTTACACTTCTGTGCTCGCTTTTAAGCAACAGATCTTTTCTGTTGTAAATTGGGGTCATTCATAAATGACGTCACGCTTTTTTGGACGATTTTTACCTCCCCCCCCTCCCATCCGTCACACGTCGTCACAAAAAGCCAGACCCCCCCCCCCTAAAATGACGTCACACCTCAACCTATAACCCCCCTCAAAATTGCAGTTGAATTTTTTTTAAACATCGATATTTTTCCAAAATCTTGTCTAAACTATTACAATTTATTAAAACAGTTATCTAAAACGCGAAGTAACGTCTAAAATTCGTTTTCTAACCTTGCTTTTTTATAATGCAAAAATGTGACGTCGCAACATCTGAACCCCCCCCCCCCCCCCCTCCCCCTCATCACACATCGTCACAAAATTACGGACCCCCCTCCCTCCTACGAGTGTGACGTCATTTATGTATGACCCCATTAAACATTATCAAAACTTTAGAATTGGTGGAATTTAGCTGTTAAGGGCTCGATTTGTTTGTAAATTAATGTTGGTTCATAAAAACAATTTCATTCAGGCATTTAAAAGAGGTTATAGTGGTATTGGAGGTAGGAAACAATGGTTACTTTTATGCCAATAGTAGTCATGCCATTCATTGGTCTGGAGCCAATATGTCGGGAGTCATTTTGTCAAAAGCCAATATGTCGGGAGCCCAATTGCCGGGAGCCAATATGTCGGGAGCCCATTTGTCGGTAGCCAATATGTCGTGAGCCAATTTGCCGGGAGCCCATTTGTCTTGAGCCCTTATGTCAGGAGCCGATATGTCGGGAGCCGCTTTGTCGGGAGCCAATATGTCCTGAGCCTATTTGTCAGGGGTTAATATGTCGGGAGTCCATTTGTCGGGAGCCTAAATATCGGGAGCCCATTTGTCGGGAGCATATATGTCGCAAGTCAATATGACGGGAGCCCATTTGACGGGAGCCAATAAGTCGGGGCCCTTTTGACGGGGCTATTTTGACTGGGTTGTTTTGTCGGGGGTCGATTTGACGGGGTCAAATTAACGGGGCCGTTTTGACGGGGCCGATTTGTCCCGGGCCGTTTCGACAGGGCACCGTGAGAGGCATATGATAAAACATGAAACTATTTCAAGTTACATTTTCATCATGTTTTTCTGTTTGTGCCTGCCCAAGACAGATGAAGTTGAGTTCATCTGTTTCTTCAGAGACCTTGGCATATGAAGTGATAGTGTGGTCAGTACTATGCTCAAATTCCTTTACTTTCCCTAACTTGAGTTAGGTACCCATCAAAGCTGGGTGGAATCAGGGACATTATACTGACTTGAACCAGGATTCAAACTCGAGACTTTTGGGTTAGCAGTCTAGCTCTCTACTGCTAGGCCACATTGTCTCATTAATATATTAAAGTAGGCATTTCCAATTAATGTACTAGAGCTATTAATGTAGCCCTTGTAGGTATATTACTTATACTAGCATATTTCATCTTTCCAGAAGTTCTGAAGGACGGGAAACAGAACTAAAAAGCCAAGTTTCAGGTAAACAGGAATAATACATACAACTTATATAATGATAGATTTAAATAATCACTTTAAAACAATGTAAAGGACCAATATCAACAATTTGCTCATGTTGTCGTTTTGAAAAATTCAATTGGAGCTAAGATTCTATTTTATTTTCTTACTGCCAATTTGTTGTGTTGTTTTCGTGTGTCTTTATCTTATTCTTGTACAAGCTAATGTCACTGTATGTCAGAATCTATCTCAGAACATGGAAGAGTTTCATAGGAATTTCTTTTTACTCGAGTTCATGGGGCTCGTTAACTGGGGCCAGCCACTCTTCTAGGAGAGAAAACTCCAAAATGAAACAACTTTGTTCTTGGATGGCAGTGGCGTAGGAAGGGGGGGGGGGGAGGGGGGTTAGGGGGTCATAACCCCCCCATAGACCCCTCGATATATATATAAAGTACAAGGGGGGTGCAAATCGAAAGTTTGAGGGGGGGGGGGTGCAAATCAAAAGTCTGAGGGGGGTGCAAATCGAAAGCTTGTCCCCTGGTAAAAATTGGAACCCCCCCCCCTTGAGACAATCCTGGTTACGCCACTGTTGGATGGACAAAGGCTATGGAAGTAAATCCATAAAGAAAGCATACTGAAAGTCAACAGCATAACAGGTTGACACATAATACTTAATTATTTTGGATTCCTTTCCAAGATTATGATTAATTATGAAGAAGAAGTTAGAGACCAGTAGTATAATCAGTAGAGGTAACATTTTCTTACAGAATAAAAACTCACAGAATTGTGTAATAGCAGCTGATTAAAGTTAGGTTTGCCTGTCACCCTTCCTGAGACATAAGCCGCTGACAAGAGCTTTCCAGGCGTCTCTGTCCTAGGCTAGTTTCTCCGTCACCCGGTATATCCAATTTTCTTGGTGTCTTCTTCCAGGTCGCATCTCCAGGTCTCCCTTGTCTTATTAGTTTAGATACAGGCTTCCTGGGTGTGTGGCTAATCCATTTCCATTTTCTATGGAGGATCTCTTCTTAAAGAAAATTAAAATCAGCCGAGTCAAAAAACTGTAAACAGTTTCTTTTTTTTTTTTTTACAGAGCGAGGAATTAGTCGTCAGCAAACAGCTATTTCTCATGCAACAACAGAGGCGTTCACGGATGATGAATCCTAAGATGTTACATCTTGCCTACTTATACTTCATCGTCTTATCTATGTTTTTTAACCATCACCCTTATGCTTCAGTGGTCAATCACTTGCTAAATGATTTTTCCAAAATTTGATTTTTTACTTATTATGGTTATGTTTTGTACTGTGATATTTTGTAAAAAGTATTTTACCTACATTTTAAAATATACTTTTTGGAACAAATTAGTTATTTTTAATTTAATGTTTGCTGTTTTTTAATGTATAAAATTCATTAATTTAATAAAAATAATTGTTCCTTATATTTCAATTTCTTTCTAATCCCTTATTAAAATCTATTTAATAAATTTAGGCATAATAACATGTATGTATTTACAATATACATAAAGTATAGTATAACAGCAATGTAATCAGGGCCTATAACCGTGAAATTTATTAGTAGCAAGGGCAGCTACTCAATGCAATCAATTCCAACATTTTAGCTCTCTTTGGGATGTCACCGAAAACAAATACAGCGGAATCCTTTGAAACGACACCCTTTGAAGTAAATCAATAGAATAATAACCCCGCTGAGCTTGAAATCGATTTATTAAGAGTCATCGCTTCATGTACTGTGGTTCAAAGTGCTACCTGCGTTTTTTATTTGGTATATCATGTTGCGGTAGCTAGACCACTCTGAGATGCGAGAGATAGTCGTCTGTCCCGGTACGCGGTGAACGGTTTTCTGGACACGCCCCTCGCGAGCCGCAGCACCACCCCACCCGGCGGACAAGCTCCAATGACGTCATCACATTGCACGTGAGATCAAAAGAACTGACCACATAATGATGCTATTATTAATAATTATTTAGCTTGAATTTGTGCATCGGGGTGTGTTAAAGTGGGGAGGGGGGGGGGGTGAGAATAGGTTCTAGCTTAGGGGTCGTCATTAAATTACGTAACTTCGTACAGGGGTCCATTTTGTGACGAGGTGGAAAGGGGGAGTGGGGGTTGGTTTAGATAGTGTGACGTCACATTTGTGTATTTTTAAAAGTTATGTTAAAAACTGAATTTCAGCCGTTATTTCGCGTTTTAGAAAACTGTTTTAATAAATAGTAATAAGGGGTCGGTGTATTCGAGTCGGTAAAGCGGTTGCTAAACCGAAAAGTCTCAAGTTCGAACCCTCGGGCAGATGAGGCTCGTTAACTGGGGAGAGACAACTCCAAAATCAAACAACTGCTGCCTTGTAGTTTGTTCTTGGTTGGACAAAGGCTATGGAAGCAAATCCAAAAAGAAAAGGAGGCTGAAATCGGAGTCAATGGCCTCAATGGCGTATAACCTGTTGACACGTATCCTTAATTGTGTTGTAGGGGGATCCCTTCCAACACTAAAATTAAGAACGAAGAAGAAGAATAGTAATATAAAGGGATACAAATACGTTGACCGGACTCAGTCAATATTATGGAAAGAAAAAAAAAATCGATGTTCAAAAAAAAATAAAAAAAATTAAACTTCAATTTTGGCGGGGGTTGTGGGTAGAGGTCTGACGGAGGTGAGGGGGTGGGGGTGAAAAATCGTCCCCAAAAGCGTGACGTCATTTATGGATGAGCCCTTAGCGTGGCAATCGCCGTCTCACTTCAAAACAAAGCATACTGAATAATACAACACAACTCATTATAGACCGGATTGACCTAACGATTAGCCATACGATTATTAATTTAAAAAATAAAAAATAAACATAGTGTCGGTGTCGTCGATAACGATATCGATAGCATAGAGCTGGGCAACAGAGTTTCTTCCATCCATCCGTCTACCGCCCCCCCTCCCCGAAAATTTCAAGAGCCCCCCCCCCCCCCCCGGAGAAAAAAGTCTGGAAGAAACACTGCTGGGCAAGTAATGGTTATGTTATTTTTATAGCAGAAATACTGCCCAATTGCCGCACTATTCAAGTATGTGGTTTAGGGGTCGTCTGTAATAGGCTGAATTCTTCATTAGACGATGTTATCACCCCATCTTCCCATTCTTTTCCTAATCATCAACTGACGTCACATTTAAGCCTGGACCCCCCCCCCCCTAAAATTGTAGTTTTTATTTTGTTTTAATATTAAGTGACCATCAAAGGAAAACCTAGTCCAAAATTGATTAGTATTAATTACAATGTACATTTTTGAAGTATATGGATTAAGAACATTCAGTTACCAAATTTCGTTTTAAAATAAAAATGTATGACGTCACATGGTCTGAATACAAACCCCCCCCCCCCTCTAGTTTCAAGTCATCAAAGAATCCCGACCCCCCCCCCCCCCCCCTCTCGGTGTGTGACATCATTGTGACGATTCCCTGGTTTAAAAAAAACGAATTTTGAAGCAACCAACGCGATCCCGAAGTCGTGATTAAATTTTGCGATTATCTAATTCTAACTACTTAGATATTCCTTTTTAGCTCCTCCGCCCAAATCCAACATAAAATTTTTCATTTCTAAATATTACAAGTAAATAAAAATAGGGCCCTGGTAAACAAAACACAATTCTGTAACAATAGGGCCAGGGCCTTCTGTGACCCAGTTTCATATCTGCTGCTGGTTGGTTAAATGTCAAACGATCGCCTGGAAGAGAAGGTCAAACACTCAAGTCAGTGCGACATGATAATATATGCAGGCCGTCTGGTAAATTATACACATATGGAATATGCTAAAGCAGCTGAATAACACTTGTGTAGCAGACGGTAGCCAAACTTATAAAAAAAATAATGTTGTATTGAATTACCTTTATAAAAACGTTACTTTAAAAATATGTATGCTGTAAAAATTCCGAATTTCGTTTTTTTTAATTTTGTTTCGTATATTAATTAAACCTTGAAGAAGTAGAAGGTTTTGTTACAAGTCTACTAGGCTAAGTAGAATAGATGATACGTTGGTGGATTTTAACTGAAACAATCAAGGAAAAGTAAACTAAATCAAAATTTAACATATTTTGCATACCGGGATTTTTCCCAGATATTTGTTTCTGATTGGAACGGCACTAAAACTTCCGAGGAGCGCACTTAAAATTGTTTTATATTTTATATTCAGAGTTTCTTCCAGGCATCTCTTCGGAGGGGGGGGGGGGGGGGCGGCCCCCCCGAACGAAATGGAATTTATATAGAAAATATATACTTTTGACAGTGTCCGCCCCCCCCGGAAATCGTTGTCTGCCCCCCCCCCCCCCCAGAAAATTTTCAAGTGCACCCCCGGAAAAAAATCTGGAAGAAACACTGTTTATATTTCGTCTGCCCCCTACCCCCACCTTCGAGAGATGCATGAAAGAAATGAATGATGTAGGCCTGCAATGATGAGAAAAAAGTACACCTAAACCATACATATGGAAAAGTTGCGACAATGGCGTAGCTATCGGAGCGGTTCACTGTATGCCGAACTTTTTTTCTCAGTGATAGTCCACTGAGGTGATAATGATATACTTTATACTTTTTCCTCGACGAGCTGAAAAACAAAGTTAACGCTAACACGTAATGGCGAACACTCCCGAAGAATTTTACAGAATGTCTGAACGTTTGATTAACACCTGTGTCATAGATGAAGAAGTTGTGGTACTGAAACTGGTGGCGCCACATTACTTACCGCATCGCAAAATGCTAATTTATAAAGTTGCGAAGTATTCCAAACAATATTACTGCAAATACTAGAAAGGGGTCATCCATAAATGACGTCACACTCGTAGGGGGGGAGGGGGGGACCGTTATTTTGTGACGATGTGTGATGAGGGGGGAGGGGGGGGGGGGGGGGGTCAGATGTTGCGACGTCACATTTTTGCATTATAAAAAAGCAATGTTAGAAAACGAATTTTAGACGTTATTTCGCGTTTTAGATAACTGTTTTAATAAATTGTAATAGTTTAGACAAGATTTTGGAAAAATATCGATGTTTAAATAAAATTCAACTGCAATTTTGAGGGGGGGGGGGGTTGTAGGTTGAGGTGTGACGTCATTTTAGGGGGGGGATCTGGCTTTTTTGTGACAATTGTGTGACTGAGGGGAGGGGGGGGGGGAGGTAAAAATCGTCAAAAAAAGCGTGATGTCATTTATGGATGACCCATAACAACCTGCTACAGCTGCCATCAACAAACGCTCTTTTTCCACTATGCGACGGCTAAATTTAAATAAGTGTACCACGAAAAACTCCTGCGAGGATAGACTAAATGGTGACGCATATGCAAATATTCACAGAGAAATTGTAATCTCTGCTGACGAGATTCTTGATGAATTGGGCCCAAGAAGAGTTGAACTGCGTATGTTGCTGATTAATTGTAATAGTAGTTTTGTTTATAATATTTTCTTTGTCTTTTTGTACATCGGTTGCATATAAAAAAAACTGTATATTAAAATACTGTTGAAAGTTAGTGGAATTCCCCCCCCCCCCCCTACGAGTTTCTACAGTTACCAGTCGTTACTGTACAGATACACACACACACACACACACACACACACACATATATATATATATATATATATATATATATATATATATATATATATATATATATATATATATATATAAAGGCCTATTATAGGCCTATAAGGCAAAATTTTGACACCCCATAAGAGAATTCTGGCAACGCCACTGTGCGGCACAGGTAGGAAAGATCTTATTTCTGTCGTATGTAACGTTTGCGTGCCCTATAGGGACTAATAATATATTTATAAACATATTATTCACTAAATCCGTAAGAATGGTACATTACATTTTGTCGACAAAAAACATCTAAGTAAAGATCTGAAGTTTCTCGGTAATAAATTTTAAATTCGGCAATTTGAGGAACCATATTGTATTATTTTTCTTTTCTGTGAACCCGGAATTATTTTCCACAAAAAGTGAATAGACCTTTCTTAGTATTCTAGATTAGATCTAGCTAGACCTAGGATAGACCTAATTAATAATATTCTTTTTAACAAGAGGTGTTTTTTTTTAAGGTAAGTTAGACGTAGCTACATTACAGTTAAAATAGTTAAAATCATGATCATAATCATAGTCATACGCAAGTCAGATCTGCTACTGAACTGTAACTTAAAAATAAAAAAAAACTTACTCAGTTACACAGACAGTGAGACAGTAGAGAGTAGTCAGTAGGCCTGAGTTGAGTACGTAACACTGAACACAGTTGAGTTAAACTTGTATCATTAGTAATACTTAAGTTAATAAATAAATCAAGCTAATACACACTGATCTAGCTAGATTCTACTAGAATCTAGATTCTAGATCTAGACTAGAAGATCTAGATCTAGATCTAGTAATAACTAGGGCGCCTAATAATTTTAATTAATTTAGGATTAGTTAGGCTAACTGATTTTATTATTATTAGGCCTAATCATTTCACATTTAGGACCAATTTATTTAGGTTAATAAAAGTAAAGTTTAGGCCTAGTATTTTAGTATTATTATAGTTACTGTTATAGGCTCATAAATCAACCCAGGGCAACTAGAGTGTAGTCAGTAGTGACTAGCCACTACTAGCTTAGTTAATAGATAGATAGATCTAGAAACAGAATCTAGCCAATGACTTGATTTAGAAGAAATCTTGAGTGACAGGGTCAAATTATAAATTTTGCTAAAAGCCTATTTAAAAAATGGCCTATCATGCAAGTTGTATGTATTTTTATGATGTAGCTTAGGCTATTATAATGATTATTGTAGACCTAGGTAATCTGATTAGGCCTATGTATGTACACTATGTAGTAGGCCTATGTATTTACTATATTTAGCATTGAAAGGGGAGGTTTTAATTCGAGTCACAAATGAATATCCCTGTTCTAAATGCTTATGCATTGAAAGCTTGTAAAAATCACTAGTGATAATCACAATGCCATAATCTGATGTTGGTCTGTAATGATTTAGACTATACTAGACTAAACTAACATATTTTTTTTATTTGTAGGAAAAATGGGAAAAAGTAAATAGAAATTTTTGCTGTACTTTAAAAATAGTAATAATTGAGTGTATATTGTGAGATGATAAGGGGGGGGGGGGGCATGTGATTGCTAACTCAGATGAGGCTGAAGACAATTCAATTAGCAGTCAATGGACCATAAATGTCACGTAACATGTTGACATGTATGTTATAGCTGGGTTCTATATGTGTACCACAGTTATGCAGTGAGAGGGTAGAACTACTTGATCCAATATTATATTCCAATACCACTACCATTTCATTATGTCTAGCCATGCAATAGTGCATCTTGAAGCACGACGACATTAACGCTTACAAATGAATTGACAGAATGACATTGTTTACTAGTTTTTTTTATTGCACTATAAGAAATAGACATCGGACGACTTGAACAAACGATACTAAGACTGGACAACCTAACCCTAACATAACACGAACAAGACTAATTTAAGCTTCTTCCCCGGCAACAACGAACTCACACTAAACGTCACTTTCTTGCGTACTGCGTCACACTTTCACTCGTTCAATATTATTGCTTCGCACCAGCATTCATGCGCACCAATTTGTCTAGTCAAACATACATCATAACAACATAATATTTAGGCTAGTTATGTTTGAGAAAAGCACCTTGAAATACTTAAATATGTCAATATATTTCTTTGCATCTCTAGGCTCCACTGTTGCCAGAATGGATGTGATTGATAAGCTGAAGACAAAATACAAGGTAAGAAAAGTGAAAGTTAGTGATACTTTTCTGCTCATTAATCAGGCATTTCAAAGCTATACTCAACGGCAGCATAGAAAATACTTGATGCAAGCCCTGCCTACTTACATGTATTTATGTTACTTATTTATTTTGACAGCTGAATTATTATGATATTATGATTGAAAACATGTTTGTTATGAAACTTGAAAAATGTTATTTAAAAGTTAAAGATTTGCCTTCCGTATTTCAGTTAATTGAAAGTTAGGTTTCAATTTCCTTGTGGTAACTTTCATTTCCCGGTCCTGTGGTTTACCTTCTAGCAAGTTAAATTTTTAGCTCACTCAGTGGTTAGCATTTGTCTTCCTGTACACCCCATCCTTCTTCACTCAGTCACCATATGGTGGATAAAAGTTCCTTTTTCAAACCTGATAGTCCATGGGGCAAGTGAAGTAAATTTCACATGTTTCTGTGACCTTGACATATGAAGGGATAGTGTGGTCAGCACTATCTCCAGCCACCTTTACTTTCCCTAGCATGAGCTAGGTTCCCATGAGAGATGTTGAACCTGGATTCAAACTCGAGATTTCTTGTAAGCAGTCTAGGGCTCTACCGCTAGGTCACACCATCCCATATAGTGGATAAGGATTGTTATAATCATAAGGAAATGTTTGCTTGATTATCCCAGCATTGTAATAATATCCTCTTGTGGTTTTGTTTCGATTAATGTACTGTATCCTCAATCACGCTGCCTAAAAATTTTGCCTGAAATACCATTTTTCTAATTAAATTTAAAGCAATTTCATGTACCTTGATGTATTTTACAGCTGTCGTCAGAGACTGAAAGTTTTCTGAAGCTCAGACTGGACCAGCTGGCCAACGGTGGAGAGCTTGACCCCTCCAAGAAGGATGAATATGTAGAGTCACATAAGGAAGCTAACGACAAAGCTGCTGAATGCTTTGATGGGCAAATCAAAGAATTCTCAGTGCCATCTGCTGGTGTGCCAAGTAAGTTCAGTTTGTTTTAGATTTCTTCTATGAGCTGCTAGATTACTTGTTTGAGTAAAAAATATAATAGATGAAGGCGCAAGTAAGAAGCATTGGTCTTCTAGCATGTAATGTTTGGGAGCTGCATGCAGGTTTTTTTTTAGAGAGAAAAGGTATAAATAAAAATAATATTTTGAATGATTTAATTTTTTACTAATCTGCTCAATGACATTGTGTGTGTCTAGCATTCCAATTTATTTATATTAAAAGATGGTATTTCCTTGAAAGTAAACATTCCAGTTTAATTTTCCAAAGATGGGATCCCCCTTTAACCTAAACATTCCATTCTACTTGAGTCTAAAGATGGTATCCCCATTAACCTAAACATTCCATTCTAAGTGTATCTAAAGATGGTATTCCCATTAATCTAAACACCCCATTCTGCTTGTATTTAAAGGGGAACAGGGCATTTCCCCCCTGTCAATTACCCCCCCCGGATATTTCCCCCCCCCGACATTACCCCCCAGAGTAATTACCCCCCCCCCCCCCCCCTGTCAATTACCCCCCGCCCAGTAGGACATTATTCCCTCCTTTCCCCCCCCCCCCCCCCCCCCCGGACAGGGTTAGGGCTAGGTTTAGGGTTAGGGCCAGGGCTAGGGTTAGGGTTGTGCCTAGCTTTGGTTTTGGTTTTGTGTGAAGTTTTAGGCTAAGGTGGATGCTTAGGTTTTGGTCTTTTTCTTAAGGTTTGGATTAAAGTAGTATATAGGTATAAAATTCTAGTTAGAGTTAGGATTTTAACTTGAGGGGGGGGGGGGTAATTGCTCCGGGGGGGGGGGGGTAAATACGGGGGGGGGATATCCAGGGGGATAATGTCCTGTAGCCATTTAAAGATGGTATCCCCATTAATCTAAACATTCCATTCTACTTGCGTCTACAGATGGTATCCCCATTGATGTGATAAAACCCAACATCTGTGCCAGACGCCCAGGAATTCTGATCAACTTCCATGGAGGTGGGAATGTGTATGGCTCCAGGAAAACAACTGAGGCTCTGTGTAAACTGCTGGCCAAGTACAGTATTTAAATCTTCATTTTGTTGTTTTTGTTGTGTACATTGTGCCTATTTGTCTTTTACTTATTGGTGTCTTGACGTTGCCTGATTGCTTTACAATGAATTGCCAAAATGGTGTAATTTCCCCCCAAAAATTTTTTTTAGTTTAATTTTCTGAAAGTTAAAATAATTCAGTCTTTCAAAACTTGATTAAGTTAACATACAGTTTGTGTTTACACACAAAAAACAAAAGTTTCCGTAAAAAAACCAATAAGTATTTGCTGTTTTAAAAAAAAATGTACTTATATATTGAAGCTAAAGTAGTATGTTATATTATATTTTTTAATGTACTCTTATAGGTAAGTAAAAAATATCTATGATGTATAATTTAAACTGGTTATAAATTGCAATATTCAATTTATTATTATTCTTTATTAAAAAAAATTAATTATTTCAGGCAATCATTATAATCAGCTTTTAGAAAATCAATATTCAGTTAGCTTTTAGGCAGTGCCAGTCAGCCTTGTAATATTACAAGTTTTGTTCTTTTTTTACCAGGGAGCTGAAGTGTGTGGTTGTTAATGTAGAGTACCGTTTGGCTCCGGAATACAAATTTCCCTCAATGTTCGATGACGGGAAGGCTGTTGTTAGGTGGGTGATGATGAACAAGTCCCTAGTAGGTAGGTCAAGCATTGATTTTTTTTGCATTACCATTGTGGTAACAAAATATACAGTACTTATTTAATATGCTACATTATAAATTTTCACATAAGTGTGGTTTATTTTTAGATTTTTATTTTAAGCATTCTTGTTTAAGTATCTATTTTTAAGTGACTAAATTTCAAAATACGTAGCTAATTTTTAAGATATAATTCAATATTTGTGGTACACAATACAGTATTTTAATATAAGCTGTTAGTAATTTTAAGATTTGAATAAAGCTTTTGTTTACATTATGGGCTGAAAATCACATAAAAGTTTATGGATTGGGTCCAGTCATATTTTAAAGTGTATACAGTATTGTTGAGATCGATTTTAAGATTTGAAACAAGCACTTGTTATTTTTTAAAGTGTATACAGTATTGTTGAGATCGCTTATAAGATTTTAAACAAACGCTTGTTTATTTTTGTGGCTGAAAATTACAGCCATGTTGGTGTGATTGGGTCCAGCCATAATTTTAAAATGTATACAGCATTGTTTTGATCTATTTTAAGATTTGAACTAACCATTTGTTTACTTTAGGTGCTGAGAATGACAGCAAAGTTGGTGTGATAGGGTCCAGCTCTGGTGGAGGTATAGCAGCTACTGTAGCTTTTGAAGTGCCTGGGCTAGACTTTCAGGTACATTGGTTTTTCTAGCTGAAAATGTTATACAATTTTTTAAAGATTGTCTCCAAAGATGGATAAACCACTAAAGAAATTTATTCTAAAACTAGTTGTAAAGAAGAGTTCCAGCCGGCATTACATGTAATAAATTAATAATTATCACTGGTGTTTACATTTCTGACTATAAATAATTGCAGTTTTATTTTTGCTTCATGAGAATATTTTGTGAATTTCAGGTTTTGGTCTACCCATTCTTAGACTGGAGATGTCAAGGCCCCAGCTATGAGGAATTTGAGTTCACTGGGAGTTCCATCAACATGACTGAGATGATTAGAAAGTGAGTTGGGATTGTATCTAAAAAAAATAATTTATGGAATTTCACTGGAATGGACAGCTGTGTTGGCTATATTTGAATTAAATTGTATGTTTATGTCTACAATATTTATATGTGAAAGTGTATCTTGGCTATGTATTGTTATGTGATAAATATAAATTATGTCATTTTGTAATAAATGTTACATGTATATCTCCTGGTCTGACTTAAGTTTCATGTATTTGTTTCACAAGCCATGTATATATCAGTTATTAATGTTATATGTATGTGCAAGTCATGTTTATGTCAATTATAATTGTTTTTATATGTAGTACAAGCCTTGTGTATGCCAGTTATAAATATTATGTGTATGTATAAAAAGTCATGTTTACATCAGTTATAAATTTTATATGTATGTAATATATAAGTCAGGTTTACATCACTAATAAATGTTATATGTTTTAGGGGTGTGGACATGTGTATCAGGACAGAGGCTGACAAAACCAACGTACGCGCTTCACCCCTCCTGCGCAACGACTTCACAGTCCTCCCTCCTACACTGCTGCTTATTGCTGAAATTGACCCGTACAAAGACTCCAACTATGGTAAGTAAAAAAGTAAAGTTTCCCTTTCAAACCTGACGGTCTATGGGGCAAGTGAAGTAGAGTTCACTTGTTTCTGTGATCTCGGCATATGAAGAGATAGTGTGGTCAGCACTTTGCCCAGCCGCCTTTACTTTCCCTAACGTGAGTTAGGTACCCATCAAAGTTGGGTGGACTCAGGGACGGTCAACTGACCAACTATGGTAATTCATAAAAATTAATTGTTTATTACTTTGTGATAGGACGGCATGGTCAAGTGATAGTACACATTACTAAATACTTGCAGGGCTTAAGTTTGATTACTAGACTTGTTGTGCATAACTGGGTCCACTCAATTATGATAAGTACTTGACTAGTCAGAAGTATAGGCAGCTGGGCATACTTCTGATTATATAATCCTTTTATTTTCCGAGATGTATATGCCCCATTTATATATTATTTAGATCTGAAGCTTCTTTACCTTTAAAACTATTTCTTGTCACAGTCTTATTCATAAGACTTTTCTGATATTGCCTTACACCCAAAACCAAGGCGATCTTTTATTGTAAGAAATTTGTTTAGAAACTTCCATAGCGATATAACCTTCAACCCACGTCAATGGTAAAAGAGTTTTTTAAATGTATAGTTTTTTATTGTAATAAATTTAATTAGAAACTTTATAAGACTTTAGGGATATTGCCTTCAACCCAAAACTATGGTAAAAAAACAGTTTTTTAAATGTATAATTTTTTGTTTGTAAGAAATGTAATTAGAAACTTTGTTAGAAATAATATGTATATTGTTTACAATAAAATGATTTCCAGAATTCAAGTCTAAGATGAAAGCTGCTAATGCTGTCTGTGAGAGTAAGCTGATGAAGGGTGCTATACATGGATTCTTTTCTTTGCCTGGTAGGTAGCTGTTTTTAATTGTTTTTTTTTTATGTGAAGAAATTATTTAAGGAACTGTCCTTGGGGAAATCTAAAGTATAAAAATTAATTTAAAATAATGCTTAGTTTATTGTTGAAAGAAAACAAAATGTTCAGTGCCAGTTTTCACCATGTGAGGGTTAAAAGATTTGTAAAACCGTAATCTGTTAAAAAAATTGATTCTTAAAATTTTCATGAAGGTATTTTTAAAAAAATTGAATTCTGCTTTATTTCTTTAGCAAAAAGTTTTTAAAATAAAATGTTTTTGTTAGGAGACAGTGTTTATGTTGCAGTCATCTTAAAAAATCTTATTGTATTTCATCTGAAAAAACTAAGTAAATGTACAAGTAAATATTATTTCAGGTTTGAAAGAATTTATTTTATTATCAATATTGCCAGGTATCTTTCAAGAAACAAATCTGAGAGCTAGAGAGATTATTGCCCAGTTCTACAAGAAACATGGTGTCTGCTAGCTGGTTTTCAATCCCAGAATCCTAGTTCAGTTTTTATAACTTTTGGTGCAGAAGAGCTAGAAATGCTATTACATAAAATGAAAAACTTGGATTGGAAGCGAATTTCAGTCAGGTTGTATATTAAAGTAATCACTTTATATTTTTAGCATAAACAATACTGTGAATATATTCTGTAAATAGTAGCAGTTCATTTTTAAAAAATTATTATGAAATGGAATGAAGAGATTGTGTAACATCAGGAAATTGTAATATACAGCCTTGAAAAATAATGTCATTTTTAATTGTTAGTATTTGTTTGCTTTTGTTGATGTGCAAATGAGGGTTAAGTGTTCTAGACACTATCACAGTAGCATTTAGACAGTAGGGGGTTAATCACACACTTTATGAGTGTTTGAAGAAAATATCAATTAATTAAATGTTAAAAATAGAAAATGAATGAAAGTTTAAAAAATGTCGCTGTATGACTTGGGTTTTGTTAAGGGCTGTAGCTAATAGTTTGGTGATAGAAATTAAACAACTGTGTCAATCTGATAGCATTGAGGTATTATAGTAAGGTTTAGCATGGTTAATTTTAGGACACAATGGAATAGTTAAAGTTAGTTTGCTACATTTTCCTAGCCTGGTATATAGGCCTAGCTTGTTGTTTCTGTTTTGTTAGTTGTTTTTTAAGGATAATTTGGTTATCTAAGATTACAAACATGTTATAATTAAAAAAAAAAACCCACACTAACTGTACTTAATGAATTTAATCATTGATATTTTACAAGCTTCTGTGTGTTCAGCTGTTTATTTGTTATTTAATTTAGAACACTTATTTTTGTTTCTTCACCATATTTTGTTACATTTTTGAGAGTGTTAACCCTTTGAGCCCTGGCCTCCCTGATCTAATTTCTCCTATTTCCTGAGCTCCCAGGCCCAAACCGATTTTCACTTATCTGCTTCTAACTTTGCCTATAACTTTTGAACCGTTTGAGATAATCAAGCCAAATTTGGTATCCAGACTCAGAATCAAACAACAATGCAGCAAGATTCTGAAATTACTTTTTTTTACAATGTTTGAACAGAACAATGTATATAAAACGAACACATAATTATTGTTTTGATAGAACATAGAAGAAACAAATTTACATTTAGTAATTGTTTTGTTATTATTGATACCTGGCCATACTAGTTCAACGCCCAAAGTCCACTTTTGTGTGATAACTTTCAAAACAGTTATCACTGCCGGACCCGATGCAAAGAAAAAATTCGCATGTTTTGCACCAGAAATTTTTTTTTCGTTTTCGGCAAGTCTTTGTCCTTGACACCACGTGCATCAGAGCGTACTTGAACAGTTTCATTGTCACTGTCAATTTCAATGTCACTGTGTTCAGTCTCAAATTCAACGTCACTATCATCACAATATAGACCATGAATATTATCTTCTTCATCAGAATCAATAAATAGTTGTATTGCCTAAGATGCAGTCATTCTACTTCTTTTGTTGATATTTCGGTCTTTTGCTTCATCTTTTGCACCAACTTTATGTACTGAAGTCGACGGCTGTAGCTCAGCTTTTCGTTTCGGCTGCATTGCTACGAAATGTAAACACTTTCATTTTTCCTAAAAATCAATTTTTAAAATCATAATCCCGCACTCAAAAGACATTTGCGCAGTTTTAGTCAGTCTTCCGCTAATTATAATTAATTAGATGATATACCGGCCGCTAGGAATATGACGCTAGATCATCGGGCCGGAAAACCAGCTTTTCGGACATATATGCCTAATGTTGAAGCCGGTTTACCGGCCTGGCGGGCTCAAAGGGTTAATTAAAGTTAACGATGTTTATAATAATCTCACACTAACTGTCTCAATATTTTAATTATCGTCATTTTAAATTAAAAATGTATTCTTTTTTTTTTGTCAATTGTATTAATGGGTTTGGGTATCTGTAGTTTAAGAGCTGAATGAAATTTCTTGAACAATTAATTAAGCAAAATTAATTAAGCATGAATTGCTTCTTACTAACAACAGAGTAGACAAATGGTAATAAAACATATATTTTGGTGTAGTTTCTTCAATATTTTTATATAATCAGAATTACAATATATATTGTTGTGCGCCTTTTAAAAATATGTTTTAGATGAAATAATTATGAAATTGGCTATTTATTTAAGAAAAGCTTGCTGCTCTAGCCTATGTTATAGACTGTTAGTCCTCAATGATGCACTTAAAACCCTTAGCTAGAATATTTTCTGTTCTATCTACACAACACAATATGTGTAGATAGCAACTTAAAAAATTGGGTGTTTAGTGTATCATCAGAGAAAAATAGGGCATAAAAGAAAAAGCAGAGAACCACATACACGTATTAAGTATGTGAATTTCATTAAGAATTCCGTTAATAAATCCAGGTTACGCTGCTTTTTTTTTGTTTTTGCGATGTGTTCAGTGTTCTGTCTGTTTCAGACATTGTTATTTTCTTTGCCACTTTTATTTGGCTAATGCAATATTGTATTTTTTTAACATGGATATCATCCTATAACCAGATATAGATTCTGACCTCTTCTCTTTTTGATGTTCAGTATTTTAACCTTTCTAAAAATATTTGTAAAATTACACAGATTGTAACATACACAAACATTGGAATGTCTACAGTATTTAAACTCTCTGATATTGTTGTAATAATATCTCTATTAGTATAGTTACATGTATTATTGACAACTATCCAAATAAAATAGAATAGTATACTATAAAACACTGTAAAAGCTACTAACCCAGCAACATAATTTGAATGTATTTACTGTAAAACTTTTAAAATTTCTGGTTGGTTTGTGTGTAAAAGTATCCTGTGCTGTACAGACAAATCAACACGTTGGTGTTAGCAGCTATGACTTGCAAAATGAGCTGTTCACTACCATCTTTACACAAGAGGACCACATTCAGAAGCTAGAAGCCTTGATTAAACAGCGAAAAATGTAAAAATAATTTACATTTATATATGAAATAAGTTACACAACAGACTCTAAAACATAGTATATACTTATTAAGCATCAGTGTATATATTTTGAAATTTTATTAAAAAGATATATGTTTGTTTGTTTTGGGATTGTTTTAACTGAAAGCTTGGTATTTTTTTGTGTTTGTGTATGTTTAGAATGTTATGCCAGTTTTTTTTTCGCATTTTTAAGCTACTCTCAATTTGTGTTTGATTTTAAGCAAGCCATTATTGCTATTACAATGTTAAAAGGAAAGTAAAGAGCTTCAGATCAAATTATTTGGTAGTTCTTAACATTAGGTAGATAGCGTGTTATATATAATGTTGTTGCTACTTTTTTGTAGTCTTGGGCAATAAGCAACATATTTTCTTCTGTAATTTTTAATTTTACATATAATGGCAGCAAGATATTTTTTTTTACTGCGTATACAGCAGCAACTATCTTTAGTAATTTTCACTGAATAGAGCTTGAAATACTTAAACCATTTTTTAAAATCACAGTATGTGTAAGACTTTATAGCAGTACTTTTACTAAACTAATGTTTATCATATGCTCATACTAAACTCATCCCTAAGCTCAGAATGTTAGCTCAGTATTGTACAACAACCTTTTGCTCATTGCTTTATCAGAGTATTTATCTCATTGTAGGCTCAGTGCGATTATTCGTCCATGAGTGATTTCAACTTCAAAACAGTCTTGGGCTACAAAAAAAACATCATTATCTTTTACTTTTTGTGCCCAAGACACATGGGGCAGCCACAGAAAGCTCCCTTCTCTTTTAAAAAAAATCAGTTAGCTGAAAATAGTTTGTTTATTGATGATTAAAGACAGAACCTTCTTAGCTCACAAAAACACAGCGAGTTAAATTGCAACAATTAACACATTTGGTTCAAACCATAGTTTTAAAAACATCATTAGCACACTGTGGTCTCCTCATGAGATAAAAAAAAATCTTAATTTTATTTTCTGGCTTTCTTGAATTGCTCTAATTCATGTTACAGTTGTTAGTTGTGTTTTTAAAAAAAATGTAAATGTTACAATGTCTTCTAAACTCTCAGAATTTACCAGCGAGATTGCATGTGTTATTTTTAAATGTGTGTTCTATCTTTTT